AGTACTAAAGCTTCAAGTTGTGCAAGGCCAGGATCAAGCTCATTAAGATGAGGTTACTACTCCCCAAACCTAGTTCCGGAAACATCACAACTGCCCTATACGCACCCATCGAACTCCATGCCAGCCAATTTGCCTAGAGTACGATGCACACTCCTGTACAGAAGAACAACGGAGAGAACGATCCTTAAGGAACGCCCAAGCGGCGCCTCAAAATCTGAGAAGATCCTCACCAGTTACCCCTGCTTAAACAAACCAGCAAAGCACATCCAGATCATTATGAAGCATAATTCACGAAAAGCGTGAGCTTCGTATTCCTTTGCAATGCAACATCCAAGTCAGTATCATTGTTGAGATTCACCCTGCTGTTGCTAGGTTCATCCTTATATTGGATGACGAGTTCCTCCGACACCTTAAGCCGATCTCTGAGTTTGTCTTTTAGCTGCAGATAGGTGATATCGGAGGGGACTCTGATGACGATCAGTTCTTCTTGAAACATGACTTTGACCTTCATCGCACCACCTGAGGTGGGTGCAGCACTCGACGTCACTGATGCCTGGGTTAACGAGCTTGGCTGTCGATTCATGGGCTGTAGGAAGCCGGGATTGGCTGAAGCAGCCGGACTGCCGGATAGAGAAGGTTGGCCTCTTTGATGAGCAGGACGCGTCGAAGGAGGTGGCATCCCGCCATAAGCACTGCCGTTCATGGCACCATTCGAGGACTGGCGGGAAGCTGACTGCGAAGGGTCGTTAAGTGTGGAGTGTTGCGATGCCCCAGAAAGTCGGTAGTCTTCGCCAACAGCATTAGGATCGATCTCGAAATCATTCGGTCTTGGTGCAAATAATGCGCGGACAAGTTGGCACCTTGAGATATGGGGTGGCATGGAGAGAATCTTGCGAATATACTCATCCAGGTTCTGCCTTCTGCCATTGGAGATTGCATCCGTCACATGGGCAACAGGTCCTGGCATGAATGGAAGAGTGCGTGGCGAGCCTCTGTTCCCCGCCTCCTCTGGAAACTCTTTAAGGAGCGCAATTTGGAAGTCATAGAAATCTGCATAGTAACGTGAAAGCTCCCAATGTCTACCATCCTCCATCTGACATTCGATGATGTACCAATACATGTCGTTGTCGAAACAATATCTGGGCAACGAAGCCGAGACTGGGGCAAGGAGGTTTTGCTGTTGTGACTGTCTAAAATACTGGCCCGGTGGTCCAGACCTGCTTGATGATTTTTGATGTGAGCCCTGTCCGAGTGGGCATTGAGGTTAGCTGGAGATTAATTTCCGTATTCGTGCGTGTGGATGACTTACATATCCATTTGATGGCTGGTTGTGATAGGGTGTTCCTGCACTTCCTAGACTCATTCTGCCCATATCTGAAGTCATCTGCTGCTGTGCATCGAATTTGCCCAAGCTTATACTGCTGTTCTTGTAATCTGCTGCCATCTTCTTCCACTCTTCCACCTTCGGTACTCCGGCTCTTTGAATTGCTTCATTAGGATCTGCAACAGGCTTTCCCGTAGCAATATCCTGGATTTCGATGAACGATACTGGAATAAGACCAGGGCCTCCCAATCGTCTAATCGGTTTCGCGACAAACCATTCTGGATTTGATTGTGCAATCACTATGATATATTCGCCGGCTTTTGCTTCCAGCTCGTCAGGTCGTTCTGCATCAAAGTCATACAGCACTATCCCATACACCATGGCACCAGAACTCTTCCCAACCGATGTGGACGAACGGGCATTGGCCGCGCTTCGCGTTGTGTTAGTAGTTGAGTCTGGTCTGTTTTGCCCCGCACCTCGGTCAGAGAACCCTGAGTCATGACTCTCTTGTTTGGCACCCACTGACTGTATGGATCCTCCACTCTGTCGCTCGGTCTTGCCGATCACTTCAAAGAACGCGACAGGTACCAGTCCTCGAGCGGTGGGTATCAACGGGTTGCAGGCCTCGTACCAGTCGGGATCGTCTTCGCGACTGATAACATGGAAAAAATCACCCTTGTGGAAGGAGAGCTCCTGTGTTTCCGTCGACTGTGGTTCATAGTCATACAGAGCTTTGATGACCTATAAATACCGAATCAGTGAATGTGTGTATACGTAAGATTATGTGAATGCGCCTGACTCTCTTTGGTGGCACAATGGCCGTCGCGCTTTTTGGTGTGATAGATATGTGTTGAGAACCCCCTTTACCGTCTTTTTCTCCCTTCAGTGACCGGCGTATAGCCTAAAGGGTTCGTATGTTAGGCATTTCATAAGAACAGAGGAGTCATATGAGACTCACCTTCATGCTGGTCTGTGATCGGCGTCACTCACGCCTCTGATGAAGGGCAACAGCTCATTCAAGCAGCGCACAGGTTGCTGGTAGATGACCGCAATGTACGGCAGTGACTGATTCGTGCGGACCAAGTTTCGCAAAGCTGAAGATGTGGTGGTGTGCGCTAGGCTGGTCCTTCAACCAGAGTACAAGAGATGATGGCGCCTCTGGGCAAATAAGCAGTGCTCAGGGTTGCCAGAAGAGGAACAATGGATTAAGCTAGTAAGGTGGCTACGTGATGATCACCACTCGATGCTGGACATTATCGATAGCTCAACGACGTTTATCTGACCAGCGACCATATAGACTAGTGATAAATGCAACATTAAATTCTGGCTATGCAGCAGGGATATTCCTGGGTCGAAATACTAGTGATGGGGCTGCAAATGAAATCCCAGTGTTGCGGATCCCAAACATATTGTGGTGGGGTCCCTAGGTTGGTGAGTGTACGAAGGCCTAGAGGCCACCAATTTATGGCTGTAGCACCATTTAGCTACCGTAAGGAAGAAGTCTCTCTTTCCAATTCCTGCTGCAGCCTCAGTCAAGTTGTTTTGGCCTACTGTGATGGAACAGCCACAGCCATAGCCTGCGTGCTGGTAGTATGATGAGATTGGTTGCAGGCGGAGTCTGAACGGGCCAGCCATACAGCAACTTCAGGAGTAAGCATGCCATCAAGTCAATCACTGTACAGGTCCACCATTTGACAGTATTGTTCTTGGGACACCACTACTCACGTACTAATTGCAAGACAGAGATTCATGATCTTTTGTCATTGCCCCAGTGCCCATTAAGCTAACTCTGCTGCGACACCATCATGTGTGATTGCGGGAATGGACCTTTTGCACGAACCAAATGCTACACCATAAGACTAAACAGCCCAGACTTTATCATTTTTGGTATCAGAGTGTGCCACCAGATACATATTTGGTAAGTCCGACGTCCTGGGTGAAATGATGCATGAAGTAGCCCAAGTGACTTAAGATGCAGATGAGATATTGAATTGAAGTATTCCATTCCTTAGCCCTGCTACGTAATTGGCAGATGAACGAAATCCATTGGCCTGTTCTTCTTCCATGAGAAAAAATAATCTGGTTCAGACGAGCCACGCTATGCACATGAAACGACCAGCCGTGCAATCTGCACACAGTAGAAAAAATAACCTGACGGAGACGCAGGCAGTGGGATAGAATTCGTAGTCCATCTCTGGAGCACAATAAGGATCGACCGATCGACTGCCAGGACCATTGCGTTGAGCTCGCAACAAGGGTAGCCTAATAGCCAGAGACCAGCGCATAGAGAGACCAGGAGGTGTATACCCAAACCAACCAGCTAAAGGTAAAACATCATATCTGGCCTTTGAGATCGATAAGCTTGAAGGCACCACGTTTGGCTGCTTCGAAGACTTGACCAGCTTTTCCGGTAAGAAGCCTGACGCCATCATCACGTTCCTGAAGTAGGTCTTCAGAAGCATGCTCGAGGATGAATCGAGCACTATCCTCATCGGACTCGAAGCCGAGCTCTTCTGTAATGTAGCGGATTTTCACATCCGGCTTGTAACTGTCTCCATGTTAATATCGAGCAGAAGGCAGAAGAATGTGGTCGTCTTACGCTTTGCAAATGCTGGCAAGAGCAGCTAGGCGCTCGCGTGCTACAAACATGTCCATCAGATAGGCACCCATATTAGGTGTTTCAAGGAAAAGTTGGAAAAATCGATGATAATTGCCAAGGGCAAGTGCTGATCGCACATCAAGAGCATGCTTCACCGCTCTGTCCGCTTTATCTGTTAGGGTTAATTCAGAGAGAACGTCATTCATATCGGTCCTGTTGCACGTGTGTATAAAATACAAGATTCGGTAAGCTTTGAACTCCATGGGGTGCCCACCAAGATTCTGCTTGTACAAAGCCCGCAGCTGGGTTTGACATTGATTATACTCACCAAGATCCCCCTTCTCCAAGGCGATGCGGGCATGAATCTCGTAGACATTGACAGTGAACTCGTTCTTGATGTGTTGAACGGTCAGATCCTGGCGCAGAGATTTGAATTGGTCGCAGATGTAGGTGTAGTTGGCTTCCTGCTTCCATTTTCGTTTCAAAAGTTCCAGAGTTTTCTGGAGAACAGGAAGAGGCCGCACAGTATCCGGATTCGGAGCTGATGTAAGTCGGAAGTAGTTCTTTTCCAGTTTCTGTGACCGTCCGATAACGGGACCAGTATCCTCGGTCGCAGAAGGGGTGTTGGCATTGGATGAGTTGTCATTGAATGGAGAACGAAAACCAAGTTGAGAATTATCGAATCTCTTTCGTCGATGCTCCAGATTTGCGTTAGACTTACTAGCGTTTTTGGCATGACTGTCCAGTCGTTGGCGTTTGTCCGGTGGGATAGGCGCAAAGGAAATACGGTCCTCGAATCCATTCTTTGTAGGGGATTGTCGCCAAGCGGGTTGGTCACCTTGGCCATTATCCCTCTCTGTAAGCTCAGAAGACTTCCTCTTTCTTAACGTGTCGGGTTTGGAATTTAACAATGGGTCAGGAAAAAACGGAGGTGGGGGTGACGGTGACGGCCTTGAGAATGCTACGGAAGATGGGGTAAGAAGGGAACGGGTACGCTCTTCCTGCAGCATTTGCTGAGGCAAAGGGAGATCGGCCCAGTTGACACTGTGAAGGTTATTGCTCTCGGCAGCTTGGGTGATAACGCTTTTTAATTTTGCCTCCATATCCTCCCTCGATATGCCCTTGATCATATTTTCAGGAACGAAGCATCGCTGCACATACTGTCGCACCGCAGGAGGCCAGTCCACCTTCTTTTTCGGGGGATTTGAACTTTGCATATCTGGTGTATGTGCTGCTTGGTACGGTGCTGAGGAGTGAGCTGGTCGGCTTACAGGGGCTGCTTGGTTTAGACTTCGGCGCGCAACCACTGGAACGAAAGCACTAGAATCTGTATTTTCGTTAGTCTGGTGGCTGATGAAGTTTGAAACAAAAGTGTCTAAAGGTTGTACACATACCAGTGATAGTCGAAGACCCAGCGCTACGCCAGGGTGGAGCGGATGTATACATGTTGGTTGCGGTCAGCTTGCACAGTGAGAGATGACTGAGTAGAAACAAGAAGCAGCGGACAACGTGGCGTGGAAGTTTGATAAGGAAGAATTTAGAGACGGCACTTGTCCTAAGTCGCCCTAATGAAAGACGGAATATGGTGATTGCGAAGTCGTTGAGAGGAGGTGTGTCTGGTCGAATTCTAAGACGTAGTATATTCGTGCCAAGCCAACGCCACGTCTTTGGAATCGCCTCAAACCGGATCAGATTTCAATGTTGCGGTGATGTAAACCACCGCAGTCCAAGGCAGCCAAACAGATCGTCAACCGATACCTTTAATCAGCACTCCGTATACGATTACTGCGTCGATGTCGCGATATCTCTTCAGTCGGCCAGATCAGTAAGAGTGCTTTGTGAATAAAGATGATTGGCGTAGTGGGCCGCGTCACTCGCTGGACGAATGTTTTTCAAGCAGATCGATCTGACCACCGCTCTGCGCCCTTCCCTGATATCTGGTGAAGAACTACTTTTCGTACAAGATGGTGTGGGGCTTTACGAAGGGTATGAATCAATTGGGAGTAGGATCGTATGACTCTTCTGGGGCTGACCGGGTTTGCAAGGAAATACAAGATTCCTGACTGCCAGCAAGGTTATGCGTATCTCACCTCATTACGTGTATACTACGTCGACGAGAAGGAGCCTCGAAAGAATTCAGTTGCTTTTGACCTTCGAGAGGTTGAGAAAACAGACTATCAAGTACGTATATCTTCGATAGAAACTCCTGTGCTCAACATCCAGCTCAGGCAGGTTTTTTGAAATCTTCCCCGAAAATCACATTCCATCCGAAGCTCCCTAGAGATGGCCATCAGTCGGTGCGACTAGCTGATGGCAGGATTGCCGTCGAAGAGGGTTCTTCCTCATTCCCCGGTTCCAGAGCAAACAGTCCCCGTCGTTACTCAAGCCTCTCGTCACCTCTACCACCTTCTAATGCAACCTGGATATGCCCAATTTGCTCTTTCTCCAACCCAGTGCCCTCGAATTTCGATCCCAGTAATGCCAATGCTTCCATTCCTCTGCCACCATGTCTGGCTTGTGGTATCAAGCCACCGTTAGCAGTAGTACTAAAAGCTGCTGTTGCCGCGGCGTCAAAGAGAATTCTACCCCAACACCCTGATGAGGAATTTTCCGGCAACGCGAATTCTACGATCGACGATCCGGTGCAGACCGAGACTACCATCACCTGCCCTCGGTGCACGTTTCACAATCATGTATCACTTCCAGCGTGTGAGATTTGTGGGGCTCCGCTGAGGAGCGAGCAACAGCATTATCCTATGGCCAATGGCGGTAGTAAACCGCGACGAGCAGAATCACCCGGACCACAGTTGGCAGAGTTGAACCTTGATGATAACGCAGAACTCGCCAGCGTCAAGATCTCGTTCCGTGCTGGTGGAGACAAGACCTTCTACGACAGGCTTAAAGGTGCTATGACTCAGCGGAAATGGCTTCTGCAATCCGCACCATCTATACCGAGCCCGTTATCGCCATCGACGACAGGAGACCTTGACAATGAGACGGGCTTGGCCCGCACACCCATCACACGGCCTGCCTCTACTCCAGTAGGTATCGCTGGGCTGGAGCGACGTGGTTTGGAAATGCGCAAGAACAATGAGGTTGTCATAGGCACGGCGTTCGAGGATCTCGAGGCACTGATGGCCTCCGCAAAGGACATCGTTGCACTGGCAGAAAAATTTGCGATTGATTCGGGCCGGAACGCGGCCGAAACCAGCTCGGTTTTCTCCGAGTCCGCAGCTGCCTTAGGCATGGTGACAACCAAAGACAAACTAAACTCGGGCTCAGATAACCTATATCTCTCAGAACTTTCTCGCAACCTGGCTGAGTATCTGACAGATGATCGTACAGGCGTCCTGCGTGCTGAGGGTGGAGTCATGAGTCTTGTAGATTTATGGGCAGTCTTTAATCGCAGCAGAAATGGGGTGGAACTCGTAAGTCCGTTGGATTTCCACAAAGCCGCTGATCTGTGGGGAAGATTGAACTTGCCTGTTCGCCTCCGACGATTCAAGAGTGGATTATTGGTCGTGCAACGGTCGGACTGGAACGACGACAAGACCGTTCAGCAATTCAAAACCTGGCTTGGACAGCTCCAGCAGATAGCACCAGCTGAAGAAGTTCACTGGGAGTGGTCTCTATTCGGGCGTGGCGTTAGTGCACAAGAGACTGCACAACGGTTTGGTTGGAGTGTAGGAGTTGCAATTGAGGAGTTAGAGATGGCCGAGGACAAGGGTGTACTTTGTCGCGAAGAGGGTATAGAAGGTCTTAAATTCTGGAGCAATTTCTTAGTAGAAGTCGGCTCAGATGCTGAATGACATCTATACTTTTAGTATCTGCAACCCACGACCTTTTTCCTACCGTTACAGTATACATTCTAAAGGGGCTTCGGGCCGGCGCTCAGGGGGGGTGAAGATTACTGTAGTCAAATGGTCTGTCCGGGCTGCCGTAAAATTTATTTTGAAAGCTGTTGAGCTAACGTGGAGTTCAAGGCGCAAAGAGCATTGCAATATGTCTCCCTGCGAGAATGTCTTTCCACCTTAAACCCAGTCTTTCCTTGACTTTCTTCACCAGTTATGGCGAAGCTCGGACGCGGTGGCTTTCTGGCCATCGCGGTCATCTTTCACCTCGTATACCTCTTTTCCATTTTCGACATCTACTTCGTCAGTCCGGTAGTGAGTGGCATGCGAGCTTACAAGGTTGAACGCAGCCAGGGAACACAGGCGCCAGCGAAAAGACTCGTTTTGTTCGTTGGAGATGGCCTTCGTGCAGACAAAGCCTTCCAATCATTCCCAGACCCATCACCTGCTGGGTTGGACACCGACTCTACTCCCAAACCCCTGGCTCCATTCCTTCGTTCTCGAGTCCTATCACACGGCACTTTCGGTGTTTCACATACCCGTGTGCCAACTGAGTCGCGTCCTGGACATGTTGCGCTTATTGCCGGATTGTACGAAGACGTCTCAGCTGTGACAACAGGATGGAAGTTGAACCCTGTCAATTTTGATAGCGTCTTCAACAGGAGCAGTCATACGTGGAGCTGGGGTAGCCCAGACATACTGCCAATGTTTAAAGAGGGTGCGGTGCCGGGTCGCATAGATGCTGATATGTATGGAGAGGAGGCAGAGGACTATACCCAAGACGCGACGCAACTAGACACATGGGTCTTTGAAAAGGTCAAGAGTCTGTTCGCGTCTGCCAAACTCAACTCGACTCTAGACTCTGCGCTCAGGGAAGAGAAGACGGTCTTCTTTCTGCACCTGCTAGGTCTTGATACCACAGGTCACTCATACCGGCCCTACTCCAAAGAGTATCTTCATAATATCAAGGTGGTGGACCAGGGAGTGAAAGAGATTACCGAATTGATAGAAGAATTTTACAGCGACGGAAAGACGGCTTTTGTATTCACTGCAGATCATGGCATGAGTGATTGGGGGAGTCATGGCGACGGGCATCCCGATAACACCAGGACACCTCTTATTGCTTGGGGTTCAGGCGTTGCCCGACCGAAGAAGTGGGAAAGTGGCAAGGCACAGGGTCATGAAGATGGCTTCTCAGCTGACTGGGGCCTCGATCTTGTCCAGCGCCATGATGTTGCTCAGGCTGATGTTGCAGCTCTCATGTCGTACCTTATAGGTCTTGAGTTTCCGGTCAACTCGGTTGGCGAGCTGCCACTCACTTATCTCGCGGGGGACATAGAGGAGAAAGCTGAAGCTGCGTTGGCGAATGCTCAAGCAGTTCTCGAGATGTATCGCGTCAAAGAATTGCATAAGCAAGCAACAGCCTTTCATTACCAGCCATATAGTGCATTCAGTACAGAAGAAGATTCTATCTACAACAGAACTCGAGCAATCCGATCGATGATTGATTCTGGACAGTTTGAAGAAGCCATACGCCAATCTTCGGAAGTGTTGCAGCATGCACTTCAAGGCCTTCGGTATTTGCAGACCTACAATTGGCTATTTCTCAGAGCACTGGTCACTCTAGGCTACCTCGGATGGATCGTATATGCTCTCACAACCGTCATTGATCTACATGTCCTGCACAGTACATCACATACAAAGCGGACTTCTGTCAGCAATTCTGCATTCACATCCCTTCTCATTATTCTTTACTCCAGTTTGTTTCTACAAAAGTCCCCATGGACGTACTATGCGTACGGCGTCTTTCCCGTCTACTTCTGGGAAGAAGTTTTTGCAAGACGCTCAGCATTGACGGCAGGGTGTAAAACAATCTTTAGACATATTAGCGGGTTTAGAGGTCAGGCACTGTTTGCCTTTCAGTCTGTGGCTTTTGTTGCCATTCTTGAAGCCCTTGTATGGCCCTTTCCCCTTGCTAGATTGCTCGAGCTGACCCAAGCCCCAGGTACAATCATATTTTCACCGTATAATTTTCACGGTCTGTTATATTCTTGGGGCCATATGGCCAGTCTTCTACGGCACGCAGTTCTTCAAAGAGAACAAATTGCTTGTCATATCTTGGATGGTCAACTGTCTCATGCTCAGCACATTTACTGTCCTGCCAGTTGTGAAGGTTGAAAGTTCAGCTACCATATCGGCAGGTGGCATTCTCATGGCAGGAACAGGTATCTTGTACATGCTCTTCGAACGCAGCATCATATCCGTGTCTCTGGCTCGTGGGGGCACGACAGCATCCCATGATCTTGTTTCACGTTCAGTCATGGGCATCCAAGTCGGACTTATCCTACTTGCAATCATCGTCACACGCTCCAGCATCGCTTCTCTCCAAGCCAAGAAGGGTCTTCCCCTGGGCAATCAGATTGTCGGATGGTTCACACTGATAGCCTCTTTCGGCCTTCCTTTTGTCCACAGGTTCCGTCCAAACAAGCACTACCTCCACCGCCTGGTTGTCATCTTCCTCACATTCTCGCCCTCCTTCGTGATCCTCACCATCTCATACGAAGGACTCTTCTATTTCGCCTTCTGCACCACCCTGATCACCTGGATTCGCCTCGAAAATCGTATCTACGCCTTCTCCAACCCGAAACCCAGCTCCCCAACGACAAGCACCAACCGAACCACCACAACCGACGCCCTCTCCACCAAGACCCTCCCACAATACCGGCCCCTAACCCTCTCCGACCTGCGCATCTCGCTCTTTTTCTTCTACCTCCTCCAATCCGCCTTCTTCTCCACCGGCAACATCGCGTCCATCTCCTCCTTCAGCCTCGATGCCGTGTACCGGCTCATCCCGATCTTCGACCCCTTCTCCCAGGGCGCGCTCCTCCTCCTCAAGATCCTGATCCCCTTCGCCGTCCTCTCCGCCAACCTCGGCATCCTCAATCTCCGCCTGGGCCTCGAGCCGTCAGCGCTGTTCATGCTCGTCATGGCCGTCAGCGACGTCATGACGCTGAATTTCTTCTGGATGGTCCGCGACGAGGGCTCCTGGCTGGATATCGGCACCAGTATCAGCCATTTCGTCATTGGCAGTTTGCTGAATGTTTTTGTGGCCGGGTTGGAGGGCTTGAGTGGCTGGGTCATTGGCGGCACCGAGGAGAGGAGTGAGGGTCGTGAGGTTGATGCGCTCAGTATGGAGAAAGGAGTGGGACATACGGCGCATACGGCTCCTGCTGAAATAATGGCAGCTGGGGCAGTCGCTGCTAATGGCTCGCCTTCTTGATGCGAGCAGTTGCCCACCTGTACTCTACGTAGCACGGCGTATGGCAGTTTTCACTGATCTCAGTATGTGGTGATCTCTACTAAAGTTGTGGCTCCTTTCATTCTTGTGGCTATCTAAACGACTGCACCCATTATGCCAAAAAATGAGCCCTTTGCACACGCCGTACACCGGACCTCTGCTCCCTCCGAAGGAGTGAATCTCGTTTCCCCGGAAGCCCGAGACTACAGCTTGAGGCTATAGCTTCGAGCCCAAAGTACTAACTATTTCTCTACTCCTCCGCCAGCGTCTGACCCTCCCTCAGCCCCTCCACGACCAGTTCCTCTCCCATCGCCCTCCTGTAAATATCCTTGACATCATCCGTCGTCGTCTCAAAATGGCTCGTCGCGTCATAACTCTTCGATATGTAGATCTTATCTCTGGCACCACTTTCCAGCGGCTCATAGAGCGGGATTGGTGGGCCCATGAACTTCTCTTCTATCTTTCCTAATCTCTCCAGGCCGGGCTGTAGCTCGAGATGATGATTGGCCGAAGTTTCGGCGATGGTGGATACGATAGCGATGTAGTAGCCCTTGGGACAGACGTTGTGAGCAGAGGAGACCATGGCGATGTAGACGTCGTTTTGGCGGCCGATTTGAGATTGTGGGATGATGAGTTGGAGGGAGTCGGAGTTGTCGGTGCGATCGATGGGGTGTTTGAGGATGCAGATGGCCTTCAGGAGATGGCCGACTACTCGCACCTTGCCGGGGAAGTAGGATGGGTCGCCGAGGATCATCTTCGTCTTGGTGGTGAATTTCATGCCTTGATCGCCAGCGTCCTCGGAATCACTGCGATCTTTCATGGTGGCTTTGATGCCAGCGACTTTGAAACCATCATAGAGTATCTCGTCGATGGAGGTGTTGAGCATGTAGGTTCCGCCGTAGATGGCGGAAAGACGGGCGAAGCCTTGGGGTAGTTCGCCTAGGCCGTATAAAGGATAGATGTAGGGTGACTTGCCGTAACGAGCCATGGAGTTGGCGTAGAGTCGGATGCGAACGATGGCGTCTTTTGCCATTCCTTCTTGGTTGATATAGTCGTCTGTGGTGTAAAGAGCCATTGAGTGACCGATGAAATCTCGGGTTGTAGCTTCAAGGCCGAACTTGTCGTACACGTCTTTCATCGTACAGGTGTTGAGATCGAGTCCTGTGAGCAGTCAGCATGTTCTGGAACCAGGATCCATCAATGCCTACCATTGTGCGTGGCGGGATCGTCTTCTTTGAAAGCCCCAACCCATTCCAGGAACTTTTTTGCTCTTCTCTTTTCGAATAGTCCCATCAATGGCGATCTTAAAGCCTCCCCTGCGTCCGAAGGTACTTTGGCAACCGTGGCCCGCGCTCCATGTCCCTGTTGAACATAGCTTCCTGCTATTTGCTTGAACTCGAGATATCGTGTGACGTCAGTAGATACCAGAATGTTGGTCAATTCGCCATTGGACATGAGAAGTTTGGGCACGAGATCAACGTTCCAATCGTTCACTCGGCCATATTTCTTCCACGGTTCTTCTCCCTTTGAGTAGTTGCCATATCGTTTGAAAAGCTGCTCAAGGTGTAAGCACGAGAGAAAAGTATATCGCCAACCTAGTACTCACGTTCTCGATGTTGAGTGAGGCAGATTCTCTATCACAAAGTCAGGTACAAGGAGATACGGCAGAGAGTTGGGTTCACTCACCCGCCATAATGATCATTGCGGTCGATGTGTAAGACCTTCTTACCCTTGACACTGAGGACACTGTGTCTCTGTCAGTGATATCTGGCTAACGCCCTGCTGTAAGTTCGTACCCGGAAAGGACACATTCTGTCAGTCCTACGCATTATCGGTTATCGTCAGATGATTTGCCCGTGGTTGGTGAGAGTTAACCCACCAGTTCCAAGGACAACGACATCGTACTCGGGTGCGATCTCATCCATCTTCAGCCTGGAATACGAGAAGAGCGATTGAAAGAGGATGGGCACAAGGAGGAATTGTGCAAGGATGGGGCTTCACAGAGAAGTGGACATTTACTTATTTACAGTACAGAACACCCCGCAGCAATCGCCCGCACGTCACTCACAGGCCAGCCCCAAGAGTCATCCAACAAATCAACACCTGAGTTTTGGAATGCACCGGGAATGACTTGATATTGGTAAAGGTATTGCATGGTAAGCCAGGTTTGCCAAACAAGAAAATAGACATAACGCAGCTACAGTTGATGGCTCTCAAGCCATTCACTAACAAGTCCCTCTTGTTGGTTTTTCTGTCTTGAAGGGATGCCTGTGGCTCCTGATACAATTCTCTCCGCTTCACACCAAGGTTTCTTTCTGTTCATGCCTATCTCATGCTTGATGACAATAGAGTTGTTCTTACTGCCATTTTAAGCTTACATTGACAACGTAAGTTACAGGGGAAAGGCTTCGCTTCGAAGGTACTAGGATTGACCTGCTCCTCCCATCCGCGACTCACCCTCTCCTGGACTGAAGGCTCATCCACATGTCTTCTCCTGATAGAAAGAGACAGCGCATTGATGACCACAGCTTAAGGACATCTCACCCTGTTGCTGTAGAGATCCGCTCTCGACGTGCAGCTTTTCTAGCCTCACTGGACCGTGGCGTCTCTCCTCCTGCTGGCCGTGAATTGCCTCCACCAGCGACCACTGTAATTGAGAAAGCACCACAGACAGAACGGAAGACAGAGACGCCGCCAAAACCCCCAATATCTCCTCTGATAGGAAAGCTTAGGACACAGAGCGCTACCACCTCAAAATGCAGTATCATCCAGTCTCCTTTCAAGCTGACTCATATACGCGATCTGCCTGCAAATGCCAATATTGATACAATTAGCGTCAGAGACATTCTTGGAGATGTTATGCTGAAGGAGGTCTGGCTTTTCGATTTTCTGTATGATGTTGACTGGGTCATGTAAGTCCTAGACATCTAATCAAGCCATCACTTCTACGACGTATAGGACAGTATTTCCTGACATCCGGATAGGCAGCAATTCGATCCTGACATACAACATATTGTCTCCGTCGTTTTAGTACATGGCTCCTGGCGGAGAGAGGACCCGAACAAGATCCACATCGATGTTAGTTCAGCACACTCATGACAAACATAGTGACCGGCTACTACACGCAGGTAACTGATCAATCCCGTAACTTAGGAAGCTTGCAAGCGCTATTCGAATGTCAAAGCTGTGACCGCTTATATGCCAGAACCATTTGGTACCCACCACACTAAAGGTATGGTTCTCTTTAGGCGCGACGACCTTGCCCAAGTCATTGTACATACTGCCAACATGATAGAGCAGGACTGGCGCAATTTGTCGCAAGGGGTCTGGCTGAGTCCTTTGTTACCAAGGTTGGCAAGTCCTGTATCGAAGGAGACTTCGGGCGTGCTTCCGGCCATTGGTAGTGGGTCCAGGTTCAAACGAGATTTTATGGCATATCTTCAGCATTATCAACATCGTACGGCGAGCCTTGTTTCACAGCTTGAGCAGTATGATTTCTCCGCCATCAAAGCAGCTCTGGTGGCGCATGTACCTGCAAAGTTTGACGGTATAGAGACCGAGCCTTCAGTGCAGCTCTGGGGCTGGCCGGCTCTAAAGCGAACTCTTAAAAACATTTCTCCGGAGAAACTTCCAGAACAACATTCAAACATCCAGAGTCCTCCGCACATCGTATGCCAGGTCTCCAGCATTGCCAGTCTTCCCGAAAAGTGGATCCGTGACACACTGTTTGCTGCGCTGGCAAAGACTTCAACTGCAGTGGACATACCCACAAAGAACTCAAGAACTTTCAGTCAGGCTCGTCCAAGATATTCAATCATCTTCCCCACACCAAGCGAGATCAGAACCTGCCTCGACGGCTACGCCGCCGGCGCAAGCATCCATTGCAAGCTGCAGAACACCCAACAGCGAAAACAGTTCGAATTCATGAAACCGCACCTATGCCACTGGAACGCTGAGCATAGCCGCTCAGCTGTCACTTCAACTGGCACCTCACCATCCTCCAGGACGGGCAAAGCACTCCGCGGCCCAGCAGCACCCCACATTAAAACCTTCATCCGCTTCAGCGACAGCACAGCACAGAAGACGATTGATTGGGCGCTTCTGACATCAGCGAACCTCTCGACCCAGGCGTGGGGCACGGCTGCGCAAATAGGGAGCGGCGAAGTCAAGGTCTCGAGCTATGAACTCGGTGTGCTGGTTTGGCCTGATCTGTTCCTTGATAGTGATACCACCACTACCAGCGGCGAGGGGAAAGACAAGAGCAGGAGAAAGCGGAGGGCGACTATGGTGCCCACGTTCGGCTCGAATACGCCGAGTGATGCGCAGATTCGAGATGTGGTGACAGCATCTCCCACTCGGAGACTGGGAGGAAACAGGGAAGAGAGAACGGAGAAAGATAGCGATGATGAAGAGGCAGCAGCAGAAGACGACGAGCTCGTGATCGTCGCGCTGAGAATGCCCTACGACCTCCCACTCACACCCTACAGCCCAGACGACGAAGTATGGTCCGCCAAATCCTCTCACACCGAACCGGACAGCTTCGGAGGGGTGTGGAATGTTTGAGCCCGAGGGAATACTGCCACACGCTGAAATGTCCAGTCGGGCAGGAAATGGAGAAGCAGAAGCAGAAGCGGAAGCGGAACCAGAGGCAGAGGCAGAAAATTTTCGGAAATTCATGCCGCATCCCAAGCTGTTGAGCTAGCTAACCAGATATGTGGAAGCAAGCAAGCAAGCAATTCTTCTTTTCCCTCCTTCTGCTCATACCCGGTTGAGTGGTGCCCGGGAGCCCCGTCCACGAGCAAGTCCCATCCATATGGCCTCGAAATGACTCTATTCCTCTTCACCTTGAATCTTATCTACAAATTCACTGATACAGCATTCCACTACGTGGCTTAGCTGGTATCACTAAACTAACTTAGACTGATTATCGCGTGTGGATGGCCCAAGCGAGAGAAAAGAACATGTTATATGCGCAAGACAGGGGGAAAACAGAAACGCATGGCCAAGATTCACCGGATGGGCTCTGATCTTTGGCTGATTGCCAGCGCTGGCTGATCTATATTGTCTATCTCTGCTCTCTCTGCATCGAATCTAAAATATTGAAGACACAAATTGAAAAAGTCTTTGTGCTCTTTGCAACGTAAGTTCTCTAACAGCAAACAACAGACGAAGAAGAAAGGATAACTCCACACAACACAAGCGCCTTCAGCTCCGGGTATGCCCGCCTGGGAACGCCATAATCACCGGGAATATCTTTAATAATGAAAAAGAAAGATGCACCATCTCATACACAAACTCTCCCCAATGCTTTATACCACAGCAGTGGATGGTCTCGGCGTACTCTCCGCCCCTCCGGCCTCATATTTATCCCAGTCCTCCAATATCTTGGCGATTCTTGGTGAACTGGTCAACTTGTACACCTCTTCAAAGTACTCCTTACTCAACTCAAATGGCTTGGCCGTGACGTTCGGAATGTATTTGCCTACCAGCTTGCTGGGATCGATGCTGTTCTTGTTGATTTTCTTGAGCAAGAACGACCTAAAAGGTTTGACTCCGGAGCGTAAGAAGGTGCTGTGAAAGGGAACGTCGATGCCCTTGAGAGGAATAACAGCGAATCCGCGCTGGAGCTCAACCGGTTGAGGTTTTGCAGTTGTTTGCTTGGCGCATTCCTGGATGATCTTGACGAGGTGTGCTTTGACATCCTCTAGGGACATTTCCTGCATCAGGGCTTGAATGTCGATCTTTTGCATCTTGATGACATTTAGGACGTTGGTCATGCAATCGATGGCTCGAAGCTGAATGACTGGTTAGCAGCTGCGACTCTATAGTGAGTAGGGGATAGAACTTACATCTCCAGCAGTGACATATTGCATGTTTGCAACGTTGTAATTGACAATCTCCAGCAACCAACCGGTTTCCTCTGAGATGTTCTCGATGACATACTGTAAAGCCTGCTCGGTGAAGCTCTTGCCAATTCTAGATGGATTGACAGCAGCCATGCTGTAGTTTGATCGTCCCTGCTCATCCCGTTCCACCGCGACCTGCATGGTCAAGCCACGGTAAAACACCACGGAAACAAGGCTTTCAATTGGCATAACTTCAGCAATAGAAGCAAGAGCCGAGTATTCTCCGAGAGAGTGACCAGCGAAAGAGCTGTCTCTCTGTACCAGGCCCTTCGAGCGCATGTCCTCGAAACTCGCCTTCTCCATCAGAGTCAAAGCTGGCTGAGTGAACTGAGTAGCAGACAGAAGTCCAGTCGGCGACTTGTAGGTATAAGAAGTTGTGTTCTCAGCGATCTCTTTAAAGATCTTCTCCGATTTGACAGAGCCGTCAGCATTGATAGACTCGAAGGTCATAGCCATGTAGTTCTCGCGAATGGCTTTACCTTTGGCACCACCAAAATGGATGGTGAGCTCCTTCGGGTTGTTCTTGACAATGTTGATGATCGACAGTCCATAGTTGTCCATGAAATGACGATCAGCTCGATCCCAGACTTCCTTAGCCACGGTGCTGCTCTCGTATAGATCCATACCCATTCCTTGCTCCTGTGAACCTTGTCCCGTGAAGACATACGAGGATACCGGTTGCTCGACCTCAGCCTCGGCGAGCAGAACCTTTTCTTCCGTCTCTTTATTGCTTGCTTCTATCTTGATGATTTTGCGACCAGCAACCATACCGACGTGCTGAAGCTTGACTTCGATATCATCGTTAGGAAGGACCATTCCCACGAGCGAGGCATGAAAGCTTCGAACACGACCGATGTTGTTCTCGGCAGCCCAAGTCTCGACCAAGCTGCGAACTGCAGCACTGGAGTACATACCGTGGGTGATGGTTCCCGGAAGGTTGGCATAGCTTGCGAAGATGCGCGATACGTGAATAGGGTTGTAATCACCAGACACACGAGCATAGGTCTCATTGGATGCCGGAGCTTTCAAAGACAAGGGTGTCTTACCGCTAAGAGGAATAGGATGTTCAAAATTGACGGGTTGTTCAATGGATCGGCCATGGCGTTGCAAGTAGTCAACGACAGGGTTACCATGCGAAACACCAGCATCATACTCGACGGAGGCAACTTGTATGATCTCCTTGGTTGGTAATTCCAACAGGACCTGACCGACGGTCTCAACGCTTCTAAAAACAGTCTTATTCTTGAAGCGAATCAAGCTCTGCAGTCGGAAAGTCAAGGTCTGACCAAGCAGCTCCACATCAGGCTCATCAAGACGGAACCACTCCTTGGAACGGAGGACAGCCACATCCTTGGATGAGGCGAGCTGGACTTGCATGGGGGTCTCCTCCTTGCGCTGGAATGTATTCTCGTAATCATCATACGCACCACGGTACAAGAATTGGCTGGTGACTTGCATCACAGGTCGTCCCTTGCGAGTAATGGTACCGCAAACCTCAACCATCTTGCCAGAGTCCTGATTGATGACAGCATTGATCTGAGCAGTGGTCGACAGCTCATCACCGGCTTTGAGAGGCTCCGCGCCAGGAATCATGCGGAAGCCATTGGACAAGTGAACAAGCTTCAGCAAGTCGCCGTCAATGGCTCGAGGAAAGATGGGCTTTGTGATGGCCTTCCAGCCAACAACTATGGCGAAGTCCATGGGAGCATAGACTTCTTTTCCAGGCCTGTCGACAAAAGCCTCGCCAGTGTTTCCAACCGCATGAACAAAGTCAGCAATATCTTGAACAGTGACCACTGCCTTGCCGCCGTCGAAGGTATTGGTGGTGGGTGTATCAAACGGAACCACCTTCTCGCCAAACCAGATTCGGTAGTAGAATTCCTTGATTCGGTCGTTGCGGCCATCCATGACTTCGTGTATGGGAGCGTAGCCGATCTCGGGATGATACGTGAAGTGAAATGGAAGTGGCACAGCTCCACCTTCTGCAGTCCGCTCCTCATAGAGGTTCATCAGAATTTTGTTCTTGCCAGTGAGCGAGATGTAACAAGTCTTGACCAATTTGCCAGACTGTGACGGTTCCTTGACGGTGATGGCCGTCCTGGAGGCGTCCTTGGGGTACGAAACCTCAACAAACATTCCCTTCACTGGTGCCAGGATGCGCTGTAGAGGGTTATTCTGGTATCTCTGGCCTTGAATATAGACGTCTGTTGTGAACAAAGCGTGGCGCCAAGAATAGTCGCGTCCGGCGAGGAGCTTCATCCACTCTTCTGCTGTAGGTAGTGTTGCCCCTGGCGCGTTGGAGAGACGATAGAAGAGGCGACTACCATCTTCATTGATGGTAAGACCATCGACTTCGACTTCCTCATCATCCGCTGACAGAACCTTGCCACCAAAATACTCGACAACAGGAACAGCAGATTCCTTGCCACCGTAAACGTCCTGTACCAAACCCTTGATGTGAGCATTATGAATACCATCCAAGATCTCCTTGATTGGCTCGTTGATCTTTGAGGAGTACTTGGCAGCAGTCGGACCCTGGAGAATACAGGTTCTGCCAACGTCTTGATCGACTACCGCCTCAAGATCTTCTGATTGCCACAACGAATCTTTCTTAAACCAGTATTCGAAATTGTCGTCCAGACTGGGGACGAACGGTACAGGCTTCTGCCCTCGGCGCTGGCAGAGGAGCAAGAAATGCTGCACGTCTTGAGCGGAGATGAGTTGGTCGTCGGCCTCTGGATACGATGCGAGCACCTTTTGGATTGTGGGATATGGCGTGTTGAGGTCTGAGTAACTCTGAACAAGCGAAGGCTTGCCAGAAGTAGATGTAAACCGTTCTTCGACGCGACGGATGAAATCAACAGTAAGGCGTTTGAGGGACTCGTCAATCCAGCGAGACTCGTGTTTGACATACATAAGATCGACCATTCGTCGAACGACTTCGCTGTAGGTCATGTCCTCTAGATCAACGGTTTCACCAGCTGAGTTTCGGCCAAACCAGACCTTTTGAAAGTCGTCATTGAGCTTCTGGATGATGTATTCGCGCATCTTTTTGAGCTCAGGAACGCGCTTCTTCTTGTCCAAGCTGAAGATCTTTTGGTCCATCTCTGCCCAGAACTTGACACCACGAGTGGCTAGCTTGTGGATGGGCTCACCCATTTCGGACCGCACAGTGATAACACCACCCACTGGGCCGTTATAGCTCTTCTCCCATTCGCTATCGTCAGCGCCTTCAGCCTCAGTGATGGCCTTCTTGGCGTTCGTCGAGGTATGTGCCTCTTTCGCAGTCATCATTCGGCTGCCGAATAAGCATCCGTCGTAAGGCATGGGCGGATAACCAAATCGACCGGCCCAAGTACCAGTCAAATATGGGTATGTATCATCGGCACCACCAAAACCACTGCCAGCGACAAGGATGATGTTGTCTTGCTTCCTGATTCTGCCGTACATCTGAAGAATGGGCTGATGAAAATCTTCGAAGGAGTGATGCCCACCACCACGTCCACCAGTCCACTGAAGGATCACAGGGAACGTTGGATTGGCCTTGGCAATATTGACGACTTGCTGAATGGCGTCCATGGAGCCCGGCTTGAAGGCGATGTGCTTGATACCAAGCGTATCAATATACTCCTGAGCAACCTCGATGGAGGGAACACCAGCACCAATGGTAAGACCTTCGATAGGGACGCCGTCAGCACGTAACTGTGCAAGCAGAGGGATCTGCCAGCCCATCGCGCGAGGGTTGACATAGATTAGGTTGACAGTAATACCTCTTCCTGGTGGAATGGCTTTTTCGATCCTGTTGAGCGCCTCGGTCATCGTCTTCGCGTTGTAGTACCCGCCCCCAGCCAGCTCGATCTGGTACCCTGCATTCATAGTCGCAGCGACAAAGTCCCATGGAACAGTGCAAGGTGTCATACCAGCGACCATCAATGGCGGAACCCCAAGAAGTCGTGACATCTTGGTGTCGACAAATGTCTGACCAACTGACGTTTTCACTAGCCTCGGGCCGTGCTCCCTGACCCAGTTGACAGCATACTTGACTGCGTGCTCTTCATCGCGATCGAAAAGCTCTGGCTTGTAACCGACTTCGGAATTGCTACCATCCATAGCACCAGCGAGAATGACACGGACGCCAGTTCCATCTTTGTTACGGTTTGTGAGAACGCCAAGACCAGAGATACCCCCTGGACCGAAGTCCAGAATGTGTGTTGCGCCTGGAAAGACAGTAGCGCTCTCCCAATTCACTGGATCCTGGGTGATCATGTGGATAAGCGAGGGAACAAGATCGCAGCTACCCTGCTGACGCAGATCTTCGCCGGTATTTGTATTATAGACCGCAATACTCAACTCCTTGCCGAATATTTTAACATCCTTGACGTCTTCTCGAATTTGCTTGTATGCTCCAGCCAGAAGAGGGCTGTGAAATGGCGCAGTAATAGGAAGGAAGCGGTTCACGAAGCGGACTTTTCGTTGTGTGAAAGGAATACGATTCTGGTCAAGACCTGTTGGAGCTTTCACTTTGCGGAGTCGCAAATTCAAACCGTGAAGAGAGATGGGTGGTCCAGTGACGACAAAGTTTCGTGCACTGTTTACAAGTGAGATGGCGATGTGGCGCTCCGTCGGCAGGTGCTCATTCGTAGCATCGATATGTTCCTGCACTTGGGTGCGAGAAAGGTCACGTATCGAAAGCATGGGTGTTGGGGTACCCTCACCATTCTCGACCGAGTCCTGGAGGATCGCTGGGGTCAAGCTGGTTCTGGGATAGGCTTGCTGGCTACGCATGCCAATCCAGAAAAGTAGCGTGATTGCACTCTTAGCAGCCTTTGCGAAGGACTCCCATGAATCAGCTGTAGCAATGGCAGCTGCAGTCACAATGCCTTGTGAGTGACCAGTCGTTCCGCCGAAGCGCTCCAAAACTTCTCCTGGCGTGCGCCCTAACGCCTTGCAAGAGACTTGGTAGTGGGCGAGTTGGACCAGTCCGATCAATGGTAGACTGACAGGTGCAGAGACCAGATACTCAGTATCGGGTTGAGTGTCTCTGTCATGCAGCCAGCTCATGATGTCCAGGCCCTTAGAGTACAGCTTCTCAGCTTTGGGATCTCTGGCTAGTGCTTGCAACATCTGTGCTGAGGAGTAGATGAGGTCATGCGTGAAAGAAGGGTATGTGCTGTAAACCTCTCGGAGTTCATCAAAATATTCTTCGATATTACCTTGACCTCCAAAGACGGTGTAAATCTTGGCCTGCTCGTCGTCCGCTGCACGCAGAAGAGCGGAATCGTGCGCCTTGATAGGGCGCAAAACTGCTGCCCTACCAGCGTAATATGATTGCACCACCAAGAGCTTCTTGGATTTAATGCCTGGGAGCGAGGCAGCCAGTGCATGTACATCATTGGCCCGCATGAATGACCTTTCAAATTCGTTCAAAACGATCTTCAGAACCTCGATAAAGTTGCCTTGCCCATCGTCATCTTCGTCGATTTCCCGAGCTGTAAAGCCGATGTAGCGAGCGACCAGTTCTGCCACAGAGGAAGGCTCGTCATCCTGGGCAAGCTCGTCCGTCGGTTCCGGCAGGGAAAGCTTGAAGGTGTCCTTCAGCTGTGAGGCATGGTAATGGAGGTTTGTGGGAATGAGGAAGGAGTATTCGAGAGAGCCGTGCGAGAGTGTGAGAGGGCGGAGATTCTGAGAGGAGCGAGGTGTGTGGATCCCGGTATGAGGTCCCGTGCCTGGACCGAGCATTCTGTAGAACAAGGGATTGTGAAGGAGATGCTGCTCGACGAGAAGCTGTATCAGGATCAGCCCAAGGTTAGTACTACATATCGCACGGAAGACTTCCAACTTACATCCTGCTATAGAAGTTGAATACGTATTCAGCAACAGTGAGCAAGTCAATGCCACCAAGCAAGATCAGTAGTGGAAGGTTGGGTTGGAAGAAAAGATGATTGACTTCCAAACGCAGAGAAGATGATGGCTTAGGCGTTGCAGGAAAGACAGAAGACTGATTCCTTCTGGGAGATGTACAGATGATGTGGAATAGAAGGGTGAGAATGAGAGGTGAGTGATTGAGTGTCTGTATTGCCAACGTCCTTTGGTTTCTTGTCTGCATATAGTATGGTTAGGTTGAACCCGACACTGAAGACAGCATTGGGATTTGCGACCTCCAAGCGTATGCAGGTGAAAAGTGAAAAAGGCAACTAAAATCGTTGGGCAAAGAACCCTTTGACGTCCCGGTGCAGGGGGGAAGAGCGATCTTGAAATATTGATACATACGTAGTAATATGCATGCGGGGAAAGCTCCAAGCATCGAGTACTCTTATGGCCTGTCTAAGAAGGCTTTTCTGCTCTATATCCGCCTGGATTTGGTTATTTACGAGGCGTCATTGCACAAAACAATTTTCTCAAGTTAACATAACTTGTCCGTCTTCCAAAGCAATCTTCGAAGTGGCCGGTAACTTACGGGTGAAAAACGAAGCCTACTACTCATATATAATATTGGCGTGGTACGGTAACCCTTCATACCAGCCAAGCGCTACTACTACTACTACTAGTAATTGCCCCCCGTCTCAACCGTTAACTTAAAGCTTTTTTCACTGTGAGCCGCTTTAGCGTGGGGACCAGGGTCAGCTCCATCCCATCGTTCATCGTTTAAGATAAAAACACGGTCATCAACCACGGCAGGAACATCTTTGGTTCCCATCAGCGCCACAAAGCCCCCAAGACTCATTCCCCTCTCTTGCTCGCTCATTCAACTCATCCAACCATTCCAAGCTGAAAAGTTGCCTTCTCGGACGACTAGTTCCTAGTGATAGAGTCGAGGTCAGGCACCTCCTTTTGCAGTTCACACTTCACTGGCATCCTCCTTCCGAAACATACTGCACCTATCTATCCCTCTACTTTACGACTGCAAACTTGCAACCTTACACACTCATCATCTCTTTCCTTCCAGCTCCCCCGGTACTCTGATTGAATTCATACAGCATCGACTTGCTATCACCGCATGAATACACTGTGCTCCTCTCAACGCCAGAGCCAATTGATGAAACCTCACCTCACCTCCCTCACCCTTTTCACTCCCCTCTCTTCTAAGCTGATACCCATCTCCCCTTCATCATGCGTCCCGAAGTCGAGCAAGATCTCGCCCACACGCTCCTCGTCGAGCTTCTGGCATACCAGTTCGCCTCGCCAGTGAGATGGATTGAGACCCAAGATGTTATTCTCGAGGCCAACAGGACAGAGAGGATTGTGGAGATCGGACCTGCGGACACACTTGGTGGAATGGCTAAACGGACATTAGCGTCAAAATATGAGGCATACGACGCAGCCACTTCTGTTCAACGTCAGGTCCTTGCATATAGTAAAGATGGGAAACAGATCTACTACGATGTCGATCCAGTCGAGGATGAATCAGCACCTCCAGCAGCTGATGGCAGTGGTAGCGCGGTAGCCAATGCACCCTCTTCTACGCCAGCTACAGCTCCTGCTCCAGCTACTGCTGCACCTGCTGCGAGTGCAGGTCCCGCCGCAGCTGTAGCTGATGTGCCAGTCGCTGCCGTTGACGTTCTTCGCACTCTGGTTGCCCAGAAGCTCAAGAAATCACTCACCGACATTCCCCTCACCAAAGCCATCAAAGATCTTGTTGGGGGTAAGTCGACATTGCAGAATGAGATCCTTGGTGATTTAGGCAAAGAATTCGGATCAACACCAGAGAAGCCAGAAGACACCCCTCTCGATGAGCTCGGAGCTTCGATGCAATCAACATTTAATGGACAGCTTGGGAAGCAGTCTTCTTCCTTGATCGCTCGCCTGGTCTCGTCAAAGATGCCGGGAGGTTTCAACATTACAGCCGTTAGAAAACACCTCGAGACAAAGTTTGGTCTCGGTTCTGGCAGACAAGATGGGATCTTACTCCTTGCCCTGACCATGGAGCCCGCCTCCCGCCTCGGATCTGAAAACGATGCCAAAGCATACCTCGATGACGTTGCCGGTAAATATGCTGCCACTGCTGGCATCGACCTGTCGGCACCAGCAGCTGGCACACAAGGTGGAGGAGGTGCTGGCATGATGATGGATCCTGCCGCCATCGATGCTCTGACCAAAGACCAGCGAGCGCTTTTCAAACAACAGTTAGAACTCTTTGCTCGCTACTTGAAGATGGACCTTCGAGCTGGCGAAAAAGCTTTTGCAGGGTCGCAGGAATCTGCCAAAGCACTTCAAGCTCAACTTGACCTTTGGAATACCGAGCATGGCGAGTTCTACGCATCTGGTATTGAGCCGTCCTTCAATCCTTTGAAGGCGCGAGTCTACGACTCTTCATGGAATTGGGCTCGACAAGACGCCCTCAGCATGTATTATGACATAATTTTTGGACGACTGAAGGCAGTCGATCGAGAGATTGTGAGCCAATGCATTCGCATCATGAACCGGTCGAACCCGCTTTTGCTAGACTTCATGCAGTATCACATTGACAACTGTCCTACCGAACGAGGCGAGACTTACCAACTTGCAAAAGAACTGGGTGAACAACTGATCGAAAATTGCAAGGATGTCCTTGACGAGGCTCCCGTTTACAAAGACGTTGCCATTCCTACTGGCCCTCAGACCACTGTGGATGCCCGCGGAAATCTTGAGTACAAGGAAGTCCCCAGAACCAGTGCTCGAAAGCTTGAACATTACGTTCGCGAAATGGCAGAAGGAGGGAAGATCTCGGAATACAGCAACCGCACAAAAGTGCAAAACGACCTACGCAGCGTGTACAAGCTTATTCGCAAGCAGCACAAGCTTTCAAAAGCATCTCAGCTCCAATTCAATGCCCTGTACAAAGACGTTATTCGCGCGCTAGCCTTGAACGAGAGCCAAATCATGCCACAAGAGAACGGCGAGGTTAAAAAGCCTGGCCGAAATGGATCACTCTCAAGACTAGCAGTGAATGGCACTCCGAAGCCTGGCAAAACCGAGACCATCCCATTCTTGCATTTGAAGCGGAAAGAGGAACATGGTTGGGAGTACAGCAAAAAGTTTACCGGCCTCTACCTTGATGGCCTAGAGCAAACTGCCAAGTTAGGTCTTACATTCCAGGGCAAGATGGCTTTGATGACTGGTGCTGGCGTTGGCTCCATCGGCGCTGAAGTCCTCCAGGGATTGATCAGTGGTGGTGCCAAAGTCGTCGTAACCACAAGTCGATTCTCTCGTGAGGTCACCGAATACTACCAGTCAATGTATGCTCGCTTTGGTGGACGCGGCTCACAGTTGATTGTTGTGCCATTCAACCAAGGCAGCAAGCAAGACCTCGAAGCTCTCGTTGACTACATTTACGATAACAGAAAAGGCCTCGGCTGGGACCTTGACTTCATCATTCCGTTTGCTGCTATTCCCGAAAAGGGCCGCGAGATTGACGGCATTGACTCACAATCTGAGCTAGCTCACCGGATTATGTTGACGAACGTCATCAGAATGCTAGGTGCTGTCAAAAGTCAGAAACTTGAGCGTGGCTTCAATACTCGTCCCGCTCAGGTTATTCTGCCCTTGTCGCCAAATCACGGAACATTCGGAAACGATGGGCTGTACTCCGAGTCGAAACTGGGTTTAGAGACTCTGTTCAATCGCTGGTATACGGAGAGCTGGGGCGACTTTCTCACCATCTGTGGTGCAGTCATAGGCTGGACTCGTGGGACTGGCCTTATGAGTGGCAACAACGTTGTTGCGGATGGTGTTGAGAAGCTTGGTGTGCGCACGTTCTCGCAGCAGGAGATGGCATTCAATCTCCTTGGACTCATGTCTCCTACCATCGTCAACCTATGTCAATCCGAACCAGTCTTCGCCGATCTCAATGGAGGACTTCAATTCCTACCGGATCTCAAGGATTTGATGACAAAGCTTCGATCGGAGATTATGGAAACCAGCGCCGTCCGACAGGCTGTCACCAAGGAAACTGCTCTGGAGAACAAGATCGTGAACGGGAAAGACAGCGAGGCCCTTTACAAACAGGTCAAGATTGAGCCCCGTGCGAATCTCAAGTTCGAATTCCCTGAACTGCCGAAATGGAAAGAAGATATCGAGCCTCTGAATAAAAGCCTCAAAGGAATGGTTGACCTCGATAAGGTTGTAGTTGTCACCGGATTCTCGGAAGTGGGCCCCTGGGGCAATTCTCGCACTCGATGGGAAATGGAGGCCTATGGCAAGTTCTCGATTGAAGGTTGTGTGGAAATGGCCTGGCTCATGGGACTCATCAAAAACCATAATGGCCCGCTCAAGGGCAAAACTTACTCCGGATGGGTTGACGCGAAGACCAGCGAGCCAGTTGATGACAAAGATGTGAAGGCCAAATACGAGAAGCAAATTCTCGAGCACTCTGGTATTCGTCTCATCGAGCCCGAGTTGTTCAGAGGCTATGACCCCAACAAGAAGCAGCTTCTTCAAGAAGTCCAGATTGAAGAGGACCTGGACCAATTTGAAGCATCAAAAGAAACTGCCGGGGAGTTCAAGCGCGAGCATGGGGATAAGGTTGAAACGTTTGAACTCGAATCGGGGGAGTATAGCGTCCGCGTCAAGAAAGGTGCAACACTCCTCATCCCCAAGGCTCTCAAATTTGACCGCCTTGTGGCTGGTCAGATCCCCACTGGATGGAGCGCCAAGCAATACGGTATCCCAGACGATATTATTGAGCAAGTTGATCAGGTCACTCTATTCGTCTTGGTCTGCACAGTGGAGTCTCTACTTGCTTCTGGTATCACCGATCCTTACGAGTTCTACAAATATGTGCACTTGTCGGAAGTTGGTAACTGCATTGGCTCTGGAATCGGTGGCACTACTGCTCTCCGTGGTATGTACAAGGATCGATTCCTCGACAAGCCGGTGCAGAAGGACATTCTCCAAGAGTCTTTCATCAACACGATGTCTGCCTGGGTCAACATGTTGCTTCTATCATCTACCGGCCCCATCAAAACTCCCGTTGGTGCTTGTGCAACTGCTGTTGAGTCTATTGACATCGGTTACGAGACCATCGTGGAGGGAAAGGCGCGAGTCTGCTTTGTTGGTGGCTTTGACGACTTCCAAGAGGAAGGCTCATACGAATTCGCCAACATGAAGGCTACTAGCAATGCGGAGGACGAGTTTGCCCATGGACGCACGCCCGGAGAGATGTCCCGTCCTACCACAACGACTCGAAATGGCTTCATGGAGTCTCAAGGCTGTGGCATGCAAGTGATCATGTCTGCTCAACTAGCCCTAGATATGGGTGTGCCAATCTACAGTATCCTTGGTCTAACCGCCACTGCTACTGACAAGATTGGGCGTTCTGTTCCGGCACCAGGACAAGGTGTTCTTACCACGGCTCGCGAGAACCCCGGCAAATTCCCATCACCATTGCTCGACATTAACTACCGAAGAAGACAACTCGACTTGCGCAAGAAGAATATCAAAGCTTGGCAAGAGTCTGAGCTCGTCTATCTGCAAGAAGAACTTGCTGCCATGAAGGCGCAAGCCGAGTTTGGCTTCAACGAGGCGGAATACATGCAAGATCGTGCAGATCACATCGAGCGAGAAGCCAAACGCCAGATCAAAGAGGCGCAATACAGCTTCGGCAACAATTTCTGGAAAAAGGATTCCCGCATTGCTCCGCTTCGTGGCGCCCTGGCAACATGGGGCCTAACTATCGACGATTTAGGTGTCGCTTCCTTCCACGGAACCTCTACCGTTGCCAACGACAAGAACGAGTCAGATGTTATCTGCCAACAGATGAAGCATCTTGGGCGCAAAAAGGGAAATGCTCTGCTCGGCATCTTCCAGAAGTACCTGACCGGCCATCCAAAGGGTGCTGCAGGAGCTTGGATGTTCAACGGGTGCTTGCAAGTCCTCAACTCTGGGTTGGTACCAGGAAATCGCAATGCCGACAACGTTGATCAGATCATGGAGAAGTTTGACTACATCTGCTACCCCAGCAAGTCAATTCAAACCGATGGTGTGAAAGCATTTTCCGTCACCTCTTTCGGCTTCGGACAGAAAGGCGCTCAAGCGATTGGTATCCACCCTAAGTATCTCTATGCAGCACTGGATCAAGCTGAATTTCAGCGATACAAGGGCAAAGTAGAGGCTCGACAGAAGAGAGCCTACCGGTATTTCCACAATGGTCTTATCAACAACACTCTTTTCGTCGCAAAAACGCATTCGCCATACGCCGACACTCAACAGAGCCAGATTTTCCTGGACCCGGACTCGCGAGTATCAGTTGACGAAAAGACGTCTGAACTTACCTTCCCCACCTCCATACCGAAGAAGGTTGAAGATGCAAAATCCAAGTCGACAAAGGAAATGCTCAAGTCCCTCGCTGAGGCTACGGCGTCGCAGGGTTCGAAGGTGGGTGTAGACGTTGAGGAAATTGGAGCAATCAACATCGAGAACGAGACTTTCGTGGAGAGGAATTTTACACCAAAAGAGCAGGCATATTGCAAGAAAGCGCCCTCACCCCAGGCATCCTTTGCAGGCCGGTGGAGTGCCAAGGAGGCGGTCTTCAAGTCTTTGGGCGTATCCAGTAGAGGTGCTGGTGCAGCGTTGTCAGAAATAGAAATCATCAATGATGAGAAGGGTGCTCCAACTGTCTCGGTGAGTCTGGCCACCCTTTCGTATATCCAGCCTTCAAGCTAATTCTTGATTCAGTTACACGGTGAAGCAGCTGCAGCTGCCAAGAATGCTGGTGTGAAGAATGTCAGTGTCAGCATCAGCCATAGCGATACGCAAGCAATTGCTATTGCTGTATCTGCTTTCTAGAGTTGCGGCTATGCTGGATCTTTTTTACGTGTGTATAGTTATCTCATTTTCATGCGCAGCGACTGCGTTCGAAGATGGGGTTTGCTTGATAGCAGTTGCATTTGCTTTGTCAGAGATCCGGGGTATCAATCTGGCGTTCAAGCAGTGGATGCAGGGTGGCTTGGTGTCGATAGCTGTCTGGTCATGCCTGAGCAGAAGTTCATGATGATCAGCAAAGAGCTGAGTGGTGTCTAAAATAGATAGACTTCGCTTATTTTCAATATGCACAGTTTATTATGAGCTATTTTCTCGAGTACGTTTGGCTCTTGTGCAGAGTGAAGAAAGCCATACTACGTAGTCTCGTGTTGCGCGACATGCAAACCAGAAATTGGCCGGCAACCTGGAACGGAAGGCCGGAACTCGGAACCGGGTCCTAGCATTTTGCTGGGGCGATCTAGACAATAATGGTTGCTTGGTAAGTAGAATTGGTCCCACGAGGACGGGATGGTGCAGTGTTCTTCTTCATATGGTGTGTACTACGTATACATTTGAAGTAAGGCGTTGGCTTTTGCGCATGGCGTCGGCACGAGGAGCCCCAATAATCTGGTATAGAATACGAGGGTCAGTCTTCCAGGTTTGTCAATATTGGCGTCATTCTTGTGCTCCATCAAGCTTGACGCCGTACACGTGCTGAAATGTCTTTCCACGAATGTGACACGATGAAGCGCACCCGTATGATTTGTTCGGGATGAAAAGTTACTTCTCAGCGGCATTCTTGTCAGTTCCCTATGTGTACGAGTCAGGAATTCAGAGCCCCCTCTTTCTTGGCTGTTCAACCAATTAAAAAGCTTGCTTGTAGTGATCATCACAGGCCTGTTCAAGTGGTCTGTGCTTGACAGAGCCTCCGACCCTCATTTCCGGAAGCAAAGCCCATGGAGCATGGGTGGTTAGGGTGTTGGTTGCTAAATTTGCATCAGGCTCTATTCTCTGAAATCACTGACCAGTCACTACAACATAGAGGTGTATGGGACTTGTAGGGATGATCGCTCGTCCCATGGTCATCCTGCGCCATGCAGCTGATTCAGTCGCATCTGTCTCTGGCCTTCTGAAGCTGAAAACCTGGGTCACAACTTCCTATTTGACAATTGTTGATTCGTCGCCTATTCCGACCTATGGCCAATGCCTCTAATTTGCCCGGCTCCCCAGTATTTGCCCTGCATCTCGGACCCTGGGTGGTGGCGCTCTCCCCTTATTCGCCAGCCACCCGCTTTAGCCTCTTTCTCTCGGCCCGCCATTGCAATTTGACAATTCGCCACGAATAGACTGCTTCCCTCTGAGACATGACTCCTATCCAGCCGCTGGTGCACCTTCCAATCATCTAGTCGAGCTTCCGAGGTTGACTCCACGTGAAAAGGGCCAGCACACTGCGAAAATGCGGCATGCGACATCCAGCCCTACAACACATCTAGAAGCCTTTTGGCCTATTTTGACCCTATCAGCGCCTACCTTGACCGACTATTCATGCAGCTATCACCGTACGATGAGACAAATGCAGAAGCGTCTAGTAAAAATGCATCAAGCGGTTCCCCGCCCACAGCTAAGCTGTCGATCCTACGTGGACCAATTCCTGCACGGAAGGGGACCAGGATGACCTGTCTTACACACAACCACTTCGATGGAATGTATAAACACAAGGTGATGTCCTGTATGTGTCTGGAAGCCGACTTCATGCCTGCTGTGCTACTGCTCTCTCATTTCTAATTCATTCGTTCAATCCATCGCTCGTTGGCACATCATCTACCTAATGGCTGCTATATCTTTTTCGACCAAGCGGGCGACTTTGTATATTTGTCTCGTCTCTTTAATTATTTGTAACCTTGTCGAAGCTGTTGCGGTAAAGTCATCGAGATCGTCGGAACCCATTATCCCACGCCTGTCATCCTTAAGAATCCGTCAGAGCAATGGATCTTTCACACCTGTCGTTGGTTGTGGAGGTACCGTGGACCGTCGTGCTGTGGATGACCTACAGACCAACCACGGAGATGTCTTCAATATGTTCTTGCTAGCGCTTTCAGCGCTGCAGAATGTCACTGAGAATAACGATAACTCATATTTTCGGGTTGCCGGCATCCATGGATATCCTTTTGCGCCCTGGCAGGAGGACCCAGGCTTCGTTCCGGCAAATCCGAATCGGGGCTATTGCACACACTCGAGTGCTCTTTTCACGACATGGCACCGCCCATATCTCGTTCTTCTCGAACAAATGCTCTGTGACCAAGCCAGATCCATCGCGCAACAATTCCAGGGATACGACGCCGGAAGATGGCAAGCAGCCGCTGAAGAAGTAAGGCTTCCATACTGGGACTGGTCATCGACAACCACTCAATCGCGCATTCCAGCAGCTCTCAAGCAGCCCTCCATTTCAGTTAACACGCCCAGCGGCCAAGCAACCATTGCCAATCCAATGTATAGCTATAAATTCCTCAGCCCGCAGCCGGCTGCATCAGGGTTCGGACCTCAGACTGTTCAAGGCGCTGGTGACGATGAATTGTTTTCGTCCTTCGAGTCTCGGCGCCAAGCCACACTCAATATGTTCACTGGTACCGATTACAACCAATTCAACATCGAGCTTGAGAACATACACAACACTATCCACGTGCAAATCGGCGGAGACATGGTCTTTGTGCCTCGATCTGGTTATGTTCCCATCTTCTTCCTGCACCATGCCAATGTCGATCGATTGACTGCCATGTATCAAGCCACCCACCCTGGTTTGACCTTAACGCCAAGAAGGCGTAGTCCAACCTTTGCTCTGGGTGGTGCCGGCCCGGACGATCTGAACACTCCACTCTACCCTTTCCGGCATCCAGACCGGAGGCTGTGGACTTCGAATGATGTTTCAACTGCAGAAAGCATATTTACCTATGGCTACTCATATCCAGACGTACCACAAGGTCTCCCGAGGCAAGAATTGCAATCCTTCACCACTGAGAGGGTGAATGAGCTCTACGCACCACAACCAGCTAGTCCAGCTCTGGCCAGATTCTTCACAGGCGACGAATCTGGTGTTCCAGGATGTAAGTACAAGTTCCGCTGCTGCTTTCCTGTGTTTGTCGGGCTGACAGTTTCCGCAGCACCGACCACACGTCTCGAATGGTCTGCCAATGTGCAAGTGCGGGGTAATGAAGTGGTCGGCTCATTCCGTATTCAGGTCTTCATTGACGCGTTTCTTGCCGGTGTTGCCTCCAACTTTGCAGATGCGAGGATGCCCATGTCCACTCCCAACGATCAAATCAATGCCTCCCTTCCCCTCACACCGACTCTAGTCAGGCAGAATGTAGGGCTAAGTCCGGACGAAACTGTACCGGTGCTTGAGGAAAAACTCAAATGGGTTGTCGAACGGAGAACGGACGATGGCACTGCCTTCATACCCATCAGTACCGCCGATCTAAGCAGTCTCGTAGTCAGTGTGTTCAGCAATGAGGCTGATTATCCGACAGATACGTCCCAGCTGCCGACCAAGGGAGAACCTGTGACATACTATGAGCCTACTGCAGGCAAGGTCGGAGGCCTCCAACCCGGACAGGGGCCAACGGTTGGAGTCCAGACGGGGAACGGTAATGGGACAAGCCCGGCATCCACGAGAATGAGGAAAGTAAGGCTCTAATGTAATGTATTGTGATGTTTAATGACTTAGCAAAAGAGTAATTTTGGGGAGACAGGTGGATATTCGGGGTGACTGTCTGGCATTAATGTGTAATTCGCTGCTCAGAAACAACTAATGTACGCCTTATGAATCATTACTAACTATCTTTTCCCCCCCCCCAAAAGCTGTAGACATGGACTCAGGAAGCGAGGTGACATAATTCTTGAGACGGATCTTAGGTTAGATTGATGCAAACGAACCGTGACTAATGACCCCCTGATTCTGATACCAATTACTTTCGTGCTCAGGCAGCCTGGGAGGTTGGCTGCTGTGTCGTGACCCCATTGACCACTCACAGAATGTTATTTTCTATCAAGATTGATACAATGACCACCTCGCTGCGCCGATGTCGCAGTAATGCTTTGCTTGATTTCCCCCTACAATCTGCTACGCCTCAAGAAGCTTACACGAGTACCTAGAACTACAATCGTACAGAAACCGTCCAAATAAATCGCTTTTTACTTATCAACCACTGTATCTAAGGAGCGCAGCGCGTCGTCCTCGGGATTGAATGATGAGTACGCCGCCAGAAGCATGCGATCACTCGAAGAGTGAAGGCTCTTAGCATATTGAGCAAAGCTCCGTGACCCTGTCGCTGTGTTGGGATAGATAGTCTGCCGCAGATATGACGACCTCAAGCACGACGAGCTCTGGCTACTGCATGTTCTGACCGGTATAGGTACCGGAACCTTTTGCCACAATACGGGCACCTCTCAATGAGATTCTTAATTTCAGGGGTATCTCTTTATTTAACTTGGCAGACTGCTTCAGAAGGTGATACACCAAGTATGTGCTAACTAAAAAGATGCAGTTAGAATATGAGATATCTAATCACACCGGATCTATTGTTGGCTCTACAATTCTATTATAATAACTATACCGCCCCCAGATGGGTCGATCATCCATGTATCAATCGGCTGAACCTGGCAGAACGAGGGAAGCAGGTCGTATATTTGAAACATGTACACGAGTCCATCATGGTAACAGTGTGGCTTGGAGCCTATGAAAATGAATACGAAAGGCTTCATCGTCTCCAGACATTATGACCACTTCAACAGCTTAAGGTGGATGATTACATTTGTGTCGTATTCTGCACTCGATACGACGTATTTTGGCAACAGATGTCGCGGAAAGATAATATCTTACGACCGGACTACGATTGGCTAATTCAAATGGCTTACAAATCCCTTCTTCCAGGCATATACTAACCAATTACAATACGTGAATCTCACCATCCTCGTTCAGGGCAAGCGTACGCTATAAGCTCCCTACATACTACGTAGTAGTCTACCATGCTGGACATACCACGGAAGACTTGAGCGGAGAGAATCAATAACACCGCGTCTTAACCGCCAACAATCACATACTCGCTACATCACCTCATATTTGTCTGCGGTCATTCAGATCGTTCCGTTGTAAACGAATTTCACAAGCCTGCAACCTTCGCCCTGCCACTTATTACTACGCCATAGTCTAGCCTGAGCTCTAATTCACTTACCTGCTGCCAACTTACTGGCCACAAAGACCCTGGAGACAGGGATCGATTGGTTATTACTTATTGCAGCTCTCAATTGACCCTAACGCGGGTCACTGACCATCAAAGGGCGGGTGCAGAACAGGTCCCAACGCCTACAACTGCCAATCAAGCGGACTCTCCTTGCCATCCTCACTATGGCCACTGTGCTCATGAGTGGCTGCCACCATGGGCGCTTTTTGGCGTTGACGCAGTCGCGGATTCAAATCATTCATCCCTCAGGATCATACCCTTTAGCAGCTCTAGACTCAACCTTGTTCTCCAGTATCGTCAAGGTGGGCGGCGTATTTGCCGCCAACAGCTTCGTATAGATGCCGCGGATCATCCAGGTTGAGCGGGTTTCTGTATGGGGCTGCGTGCAATTTACAGGGCTAAAGATGAGAAACAACTACAGTCCCTGCCATATTTACAAGCCGTATCACCCTGAGCAAAGAGCCGCTCGGAGACACCATCTACGTCAGGCTTAATACGAATGGCCTTGGCTTGAATGTGTCAAGTTACCTGCAATATGCATGATACGACAAGGGTGCGGTATCAAGGTGGAATCGTATGATCAGGGGAGGAAAATGCTCAACAAAACCAGTCTGCGGAATGGGAAGCTATTCATTCCGTTAAATATGAGAAACCAAGGACGCTAATCAGTGAGACGGAGGCCAGTGTTCATGAAAATCGTGCGCGATTGCATCAAGATCCATTACCGTTTCGACCAAATCACCGCGTCGTCCAGGATGGGATCAAGGTATTCCAGACATAACGACTTCGCTCCCCGGCCTCGCCGCTGGGTCATCTGCGAGTCATTGAACAAATCCGCCAGTGAATCGTGCTCTTTCGATCTCGATCTGCAGATTTCCTAAGCTAAATGTCATGTCCACTCGGCTATGATCTACTTGACACCGACCAACGGCCCTCACCTCCTAGACAGTACCCGTCACCCGACTCACGCTTCTTCTTCTGACCGGTAGTAAGGCCGCAAGGTGGCTTGTAAACCACCCGATTGGGTATCATGTCCCAACGCAGCTTCACTACCGGCTGGAGGGCCGGCTTCGAGCGATGATGCTCGAGGGGTGTCAAACCACAAACGAACCAGGCAAGAGTTTCGCCACCCAAGTACAGACGTATTTCCTACCGCAACTCGGTGATTTTCACCACTTTATGAATGGTCTCATTCCCAATAAATTCTGGTCGGTGCATTCCAGAAGATATTCTGGAGATTGTGCGCCTTTGGAGGTTTTTTTACTGCTAGCGGGCATCCCGTCTTTGTTCAAGAGAAGAAGAAGAAGAAGAAGAAGAAGAAGAAGAAGACTGAGAGGGTGAAGTGGGGGAAGCTTTGCAAACATCACTTTTTGTACACCCGCCTCGCGTACAATTCTGCCCAGCTAACATAACACGAGTACAGCGTGTTGGCGACCCAGGCAGCAAGCGGTCATTGCCTCCTCGGCTCGTGGGGAGAGCACATGGTCAAGTTAGCACAAAGAAGGGGAAGGCGAAGGAAGGGGGGGGTTTCCAGTGAATGCCGGGTATAAGTGGGTGAACCATGCAATCCTCTTGTTGAGGTGAAGGAAGGGGGTAGCATGAGGAGGAGCGGGAGGTAGTAAAAAGGTAGTGGTAGAAGGAGGAGGAAGAAGAAAAAGAAGACGAAGAAGTGGTAGGAAAGATAGCACGAGAAAGCCGATGATGATGGATACACCCACACCACACGGAAAGAATACAACACAGCACAACACAGCACAACACAGCACAACACAGCACAATACATCACATCATGATACACTACGATAATAAATAGAATATGATACAGTTCCCGAAAGGAGGCAAGCAAGCAAGCAAGAATCATGCGATTCTCTCTTTCTTCCTCTCTCTATCTTCTCTGTACAAAGCACAATTAAATCAATCAATCACTCACTCACTCAACCACTCAATTCTGATCTAACATTTTGCCCAAAATCGCCCAACCTTCTCTTTTCCTTTTTCCCCCGGCCGTCTTATTACTAAGTCATAGATACAAGTATTCATTAACCCCCTCTCCCGTCCCGTCCCTTCGCCATTGAAACCCCATATATCTCCCTCTCTCTTTCCCTCTCTCCCTCCCTCCTCTTCCGGCCAAGCCCAAGAACAGATAGGGCAGGCATCAAACCAGTCTCTTCCTCTTCCTCTCCTCTCCACCGATCCCGAGCCCGAGCCCCGGCCCCGGCCCCGGCCCAGCACCCGGACCAGCATCTTCATCCTCGCCCTCCCTCTCGGCCGTCTCGGCCGGATTGAGTAAAGAATGTACATTGCTAGCCATACTGCTCCTCCGTGTGGCCGGGGCACTGTGTAGGTGCAGGTGCAGGCTCCCTCCACCACCTCCTTCACCGCTTCCACCCACACCAGCAGCAGCACCACCTCCTCCTGCTAGGCGAGGGAATTTGGGTACGGAGCCACCCCACCACCACCGGCACCAAAAGTAACCGAGAAGCTACTGCCGCCGCTGGGGGCTCCGGTGCTGTTGCTATTGTTGCTGTTGTTGCTGTTGAAAGGCCAGCTGATGCCTACGTGCTCGGTTGACGGTTGAAATTCCATGGGAGGGTTGGAAGAAAGGGATGGAGCGGCAGGGGGAGGTGGCGGTGGTGGTGGGGAAGCTTGTCGCGTTTGGAATGCGATGGTTTGTCGACGGCTTGAGGAGGGATTCATTTCGTAGGCGGCGAGATGGTCGCGAATGTGTTGGTAGTCGGTCGCATTTGGTGGGTGATTTGTGCTTGGGTGGGTGCTGTTCGTAGGCGTTCGATTGGGAGAGGATAAGTAGGTAGAGGTAGAACCTGCTCTAACGTAAGAGGAGTGTGTGGAAATAACGTTGAGATTCTGGGCGAGCTCTGGCAAGGGAGGTATGCTCGGTGGCCAGCCGTGTTCTCGTATGTCCGCTGATGTATGACGGCGAGGGAGATTGGGTGCTTCGGCCCGGATGATGGTTGAAGCGTCCGAAGGCCGGTATGGTGGAGGCGGGAGAGCAGGTCGGTGGAAGTTGGATTGGGGAGACGTGTTATGGTTGAAAGTGGTTGGGACGCCATAAGAACGAGGAGAAGTGGGAAGATTTGAGCGGCGCCGGCCAACGTATCCTTGCCCGATGGAGATGGGTGGTGGTTCGAGCATTTGAGCTGACGAACGGCGGCTTTCGTCGAAGGGAATATGTCGTGGTGAGAGAGGTTGATGTGGATCCAAGGGCATGCCGCCAAAGTAGGGTTGTCGACCAGCCAGCAGCGCATCATGAGAGCTATCGAGAGAGCGCACCATCTCAAGTTGTCGCGCAATCTCTTTTTGCATTTTGGAGACTAGGCATATTCAGTATGATCGATACCCAAATCACCGTTCTCACTGACCTTCGACATATAATGGACTCTCGGTCGGTGCTAATGATTGAACATGGGAAGAAAGCCCGTGGCTCCACTGCTTGCTGTTAATATGATAATCAAGCAAGCAAGCGCGAGAGAGATTTTCTACCTGATGACAGCGCACCAGACCCTCAGTCAAGGCCTGACACTTCAAATTCAACATGGCAACGCTGTCATCGTTCCTTGTCATGCGCTGGTTCATGCGATAAATGGCATGTTCCATATGTGCCACGCGTTGCTCCAAGGTATCCGGCAAGAGATCCGCCGGGGTCACTGGCGGAGGCGGCACTGCCTTGTGCCCTGAAAAAGAGTCTCGGTGTATGAGGGCATGCCTCGACGCGCGTCGCTTGATCTCTCGCAAGCCGATCAGATCGCCCTTCTTGAAATTGCCATTTCCATGTTTGAACTCCCACATGGTTGGATCCGGCGAACCACTATGGAAGACATCGCCAACTTTGTGAAATCCATACATGTTGAGTTGCCGCACAAATGATGAGATGTTGGTGTGTTTGAAGTACTGGGCAAGGACCTTGGAGAATTCGTTGGACGGTGACATGACGAAGCTTTCGTTCGTGTTGGACCACGAGATCAAGTGTTGTATGCTGTGGTCCTCGAGCATGTTATATAGCTTGTGTATGAAGGCAGTTTGGACGACCTTGGGTCCCTGGGCTGCTGCCATGGCTGCTCCTCCTGCTCCTGCATGTATTTCTGCGTTGGTGTCCACATTGCCATTCACGTTGCCCCCCTGCTCAAAGTCGGGACTGCTGTTGGCTGGTGGGCCCATTGAGCTTGAGGATGGAGACGTGATGTCCATCGGATCACCTGGCATTGATTCGGACATGTTGTTGAACGGTTGCATGGTAGTGTTCTTTCTCGAATTATGTGCCAACGGTCGACCAAGGCCGCCCGGTGCATCGAGTTGCGCCACGCTACTCATTCCACGTGGCTTGGATGAACTCTGTTAATAGCAGAGGGTGGAAGAGGGGGGCCAAATGTGAAGCAGAAGGAAAAGGCCCCAGGTGCAAGCGAAGGACTGCAACACGGACCTCCTTCTATACCACCGAACGTGCGTACCACGACGTTGCATCCATAGGGAATATATTACCAAGCCGCAGCGCGTTCGCGGAAGTGTTAGCATGGGACTCGAAATGTGGCGACTCGCAATTGCCAGGCCGAAGACGGTCTGTCGACAACAACAATTGCTTCTTCCGAGGGAGAGGTCCAATTTTCGTGTAGAGCGTCAACAGAATCTTCGGCCGGTTTGTGGCGAAGGGCGATCGATTCAGATTGCACTTCGGAGCTATGAGGAGAGGGCCAAGTGCATGGCTGCCATCTCAGTGGCCACTGTGCAAGCTACCACTATCAGATTGCGTGGTCAAGCTATCAGAACGGGTCGCAGGGGGGAGGAAGGATGGGGGAAGAGGATGAGGACAAGCAGGCGGTGGTGTGCAGAGTTCGCGTGTTCGTGCTCGTTTGCAGTTGTGGTTTCCTGAGGTTGTCCCCTTTTTTACTCGTATGGCATGGCTACTGGGGTTGGGCGGGACAAGGAGGAGCTGCAAGTACTACTTTGGCACATGCGCGAAGCTGGACTCTACCTACCGAGTACTACTAAGTAGTGGGTCTTGGATGCTTGGGCTGGTTCCTCTGCCTCCCAATCGTGGCCCTCTGGCCCCAAGCCTGCACGACAACCCGGGCGCACGGGCCCCGGAACCCAGCTCTGATTACGGTAAGCTGCGGTGTGTGTCCTAGGCTTGCTTCGCATCGCATAATCTGATGCTCTGCTGCCAGGGTTTGAAACGTGCCAAACGACCACACTCAACCATTGAACTCAGACATCTATCCCACTAACGGCCTCGCCCTTATAGCATCAGCTGGCCGAGCTGGCCGAGCTGGTACCTACGCCATGACCCGGTCTCTGAAGAGCATCCAGCTCTCCGAGAGCGAGGGCAATGCACCAACCACTGGCAGCACTAATAGCCACCGTGCTTCTGAAATCCGACCCCAATCTGACATGCATGTGCATTGTGTGTCAGCTGGGCATGGTTATGCCTTCGAGGTGAAGGCAGGCCAGCACTTCCGCGTAGTAGACCTACATGGCCTGCAAGTGGTGGATTTGGCTGCCTGGGCTCTACCGGATCTCAAGGAGAAGCTGTCCATGGCCTACACACGCTTTCACCTCCGGGGGACCACACCCACGGTTGGCGAATGCTTGATCACCAACAAGGACGAGCCGATCCTGCGAATAGTCGAGGACACCGTCAAAGTGCATGACATGACCTTCATGTCTTGCTTTCCAGAGATGTATGAGAAGCTTGGTCAGAAGGGGCATAGAAGTTGCGCAACCAATATCGCTGAAGTCATGAAGCCCTATGGCATGAAGAGCCATCTAGAAGTCACCGATCCTTTCAATATCTTCCAGAACACGCCGAATTACACCATCAAGGCTTTGAATACTAGCCGTCCTGGGGACTATATTCAATTTGAGGCCCTGAAAGACACGGTGTGCGCGGTCAGCTGCTGCCCGTATGATCTTGTAGGTCCTCCACCTCCGTTTGAAGCCTATCACTTCAGGGTTGACATGAGCAGAATGGTTTTAATGGTGGGACCGTGACGGATATAGCGATCGTTACCAATATCAATCACGAACACAAGACCTACATATAGGCATACAGGTACATGTATAGTGACTGGATTCTTTCGTGCATAGTTTTCCCTGTTGTTCACCGGCGACCGACAAGTAGAATCACAGATCCCTTGGACGCGGTTTATAAAGAAAGGCACAGCCGTGCGAACGATCAACACTGTATCTGTTCCATTGGTCCCGACTTCCACGTCTTCTACGGTAATTCATTGTTCAGGTAATGCTGAAATAGTGTCCCAACAGGACGGACTTGAATTGGTATGAGCAGTGCATTTCCTTCGCTACCATGAGCGCTACGCTACTATTCACTTCATCTGCCGATCCTACGGTTGTTATACAGTGGCGGTCGTGGGGGCGGGCTCGCCGTTTTCCTGTCTCATCTCTACCTCTGCAGCACAGCCTTCTCCTTCTCCTTCTCCTGCTCCTGCTCCTGCTCCTGCTCCTGCTCCTGCTCCTGCTCCTGCCTCAATCATATTTTCTGCCCAAACAGGGCCCTTCCATTCTCTCTCCTCCTCCCTCAACACCCTCTTAACCCAAAATATCGTAATGACCGTCCACACCCCGGCCCAAATTGCAGGGACACTCCAGCCCAACCCATAGGCAACCGCCCTCGGTACCGTGAACACTAACGCCATCAACGCTACGCCAACAGCCAGACTCGGCACACCCCAAAACCAGGTCATCTGCCTCAACAGCGCCCTGAATTTGGGAGAGGCGTTGTACCTCATCAGAAACGCAGCTCTATATTTCTTCCCGCCTCCTCCATCCACCGCCACAACATCCTCGATGATCGAATACGTAATCGGTGGTGTCACAGAGCCCTTGGGATACGACGACATGCGGAAATACCTTAGTCTCCACCCCCGCTGAACTGCTACACCGTTGATAATGAAGATGATACCAACAATAATGAAAGCTAATGGGAGCGGGGTGGCAAGGATTCTTTGCAGTGGTGGATGCGGAATTGAGCCACCGATGAGGATGCCCGTCATGACTGCGTAGGGGCCTGAGAGGAGCCAGTGGAGGCTGTCGAAGCCCCAGAAGCGCGGAGAGAGATTGAGGGGCCGATACTTGTCGGATTTTTTGAGCAACAAGTAGCCGCGGCAGGCGTATTCGTAGCCGGTTATGAAGCCGAAGACAGAGGTTATGATTGCGAAGACTGGATCGAGGGAGGGTTAGTTGATTCGTACATGGTGGTGTTAACCTTGTGAGCAGAGTGGGGGCAAAGTAGGAAGCGGGAGGAAGACTTACGAGCTCCTTCGCGCAAATTTGTGCCATAGATCAAACCGTAGTAGAGGGCAATGGGCACAAAAAAGGACTCGGCTATGATCAGAAACCAGAAGATACAAATGGCGAGTTTGTGATGCCAAAGGCAATATGGCAATGGCGGTGGGCGCTCATTGATTTCGCGCTTGTCAATGGACGCCTGGATAGTAGGTGAGTCCGATCCATCCAAACCCTGTGTAGTCTCGATCGCTGTCGGACTCGTACTTGGCGAGAGAGTATAGAGGGGCGCCTCATTTGTGTCGGTGGTACGTTCTTCTTTGGGAGATTCGAGAGGTGCGTTAATTTGTCCAACCGAAGTCGTCAACCGAACGGGGCTACTTGGTGCGTGGCGTCCAGGCTCGCTTGCTCGTCTTTGGCGTGGCGGGTAGAGGTCAGAGGATGAATGCCGACTAGGTCGTCGAACATCGAGGCTTTGTCTTTGATACGCCGCACGTCTAAACTCTTCTGACGCCCGTGTCTCCGAGTTGCGTGGTCGATAGCCGTCTTGACTCGGTCTTCGCACACGCGCCGGAGCGGTATGTTTGAAGGAATGAAGCATTGTGGGCGCAGATGTTTGTAGTCAGTGGAGGCCGAGGAGGCCGAGGAGGCCGAGGAGGCAGCAGAGGCCGGATGTGGGTTTCAATCTAATTTTCAATCTGATTCTATCAATGTCGAGGATGGCTGTAAACAAGGACAAGTGCCTGGTAACACAGAGCAGGTGGCAAAGGTCAATTACTACGTAGTATGGAATCCAAGGGCCCCTTTGCACACTGGTTCGGGGGAATCGGGATGAGCAGCCTCGATCCCCACCAATGCTTGCCAATTACCTGCCATTACCTGCCAACACCTGCCCAATACCTGCCATTGTCGAAAGCGCGCTGACGTAGGTAGTACGTCACACGTCACATTCTGCACACAAGGAGCACTTCACCCGCCCGAGAATGTCTCAGTGTGATCGATGGCTCAACGTAGTTTTCCAAAAACAGCATGAGATAAGTAGCAACAACGGCAATGGCAGACCCCAAGCTCATCCCGACGCTTGACACTACGTTCAATCTCCTCGATCGGTTTGTCAGCTCCCTCAACTCCCTCCCTCCAGATGGCACCACTCCGCCGCCCGACAGTCCCTCTCCACTCCCCCTCGTATCCACCTGTGCCGCAACCCTCCGAGCGCAAACAACCAAGCTCTCCCTCCTGATAATCACACCCCCTTTCACCCCCACAGCCATCTCCGGCATCCTCAGTTCCCTCAATGACGCCGTCCTCCCAAGTCTCCTGACTGCAGCACTCCTCCTGACACCCTCCACCGTTACAAAAGCATACTCCTTGGAAACAGTCTCCCTGACAAAAGCAACGCTCCGAGATCTCCGAGACCTGGCTCGTCTCGTAGAAGCACGTTCCAAAGATGGGAAACCAAAAGCAGAACCAACATCGCAGCTGAAGAACGACGTAACGGCAGCAACCGGCAAGATATGGGATGATTGCGACGAGCTGAAGAAGCTAGCAGATGATGGCATCGCCGGGTTCGTGGTAAAGAAGGCGGAGCAATATCTAGACTTGATCAAAGATGCCGTCAAGGAGATAGAGGAATGGGATCCAGAGGAGGACGAGGACGAGGACGAGCATGGATTCTTCAACGACGAGCAAGATACTCCGCCTTCCCTCCCCAAAGATCCCCAGGAAATGTCACCCATCTCAACCCCATCCTCCCAGCCCACTCAAGACCTCCACAACCTCAGATCCGCCGTCCTCAAAATCCTAACCCGCATCCCCCAATCCCTGCACGTAGTGATCGCCCAACGCCTGAAAAAGGGTCTCCCTCCCTCCTCCTCCTCCTCCTCCTCCTCCTCACCCCACCCTATCAATCCAAACCACCTCCTCACCCTCGACACCCTCCTATCCCGAATCTCCCAAACCTCCACCTGCATCGACGACGTCGCAGAACGACTCTACACGCACGACGCGCTCGGCGCGATGCTGACAACGGAGAAGGCGAGGGCGTACGTGGTCGAGATGGTGGAGAGTGTGCGTCGGGGCTGGGACGTCAAGCCGACACGCGCATCGGTCGCTGATGCAGATGGAGCGAGGGCTGAAGAAGGAGGAGGAGGAGGAGGAGGAAGAGAAGAGACAAAAGAAGACAGATACATAGAACGAGCGCTCGAGTGGATCAAGAGCGTGGGTACCACTCTACCGCAGCAGAATGCAGACTTACAATCTCGAGGAACTGTAACCTAACTAGCTGGAACGGGAGACCAAAAAAATAAAATATAAAATAAAATTGAAACATACATTTCATGATACGGACGTTCAAGCTTGAGTATGAGAGGCCCGTCCCCACAGTTCCTTGTGTCTACAAACTCTGCAGAACATGGCTGCTCTGGAGGGGACTACTCTGATTTTCTTCCCCCTTAATTAGCAAGGTTCAGACCGTGCCTGTGCCTGTGCCTGTGCCTGTGCCTGTGCCACCATGTTCACACGCACAAAGAAGTTGAAGGGGGGGAAAAGGAAAGAGATACACTGCGTTGCCCTCGGAATTACAGACAGACAGACAGACAGATAGAGGTGTAAGGAGAAAAGTGTTCCGAAACACTTACTTTAACAAGGCTGAAATCCAAGCCCGTGTAATCTTCTTGTCTCTGTTTCTCTCCATGTCTCCCCTATCTATCTATCTATCTATCTAGATGCAGGGTGGCCCAATCTGGCCCTTTTTTGTTCTCCTCGAAAATGCTCTAAACCAGGATGGTGCTGGTGACACCTGTTTCTCATGCTGATGGATTGTTTTTTTTGGGGCGCACTTTTGTTGTCTCCCCCATGCCGAATTCGCCAGACGCAATGCAAATACAATGCTGCCGAAAACCGTAGTGTCTTGACTTTTTTCAAAAAGGGCTTTTGTCTTTCCCCCCCCCCACCTCCCAAATGGTCCCAGATTCTATATGCCACACACTCCCCATGATGACGCATGCTGTTTCGTGCACAATGCAAAGTAAAAATGATCAAGTGTAGTGATGGTGGTACAGGTCTGCCTGAAATGCAAACCTCGACCGCTTCAAACGCCAATAGCCTTTGCATATCTTGAAAACGTATCAACTGGGCTCTCAGCAACATCTCCAATCGGACAAAAGAGCTTCTTCATGTCGAGTTCGAGGGTCTCCATATTGAATGAGTGGTCGATATTGCTGACACTACCGGGTTCTTCACCCCTGCGTGCCGCATCGCTTTTGCCGAATTCACGCACTTGACGAAGGCCTGAGATGACCTGTTTGAACCTGGTCTCTGCTGGAAGCTGCCAGTCATCGATGTGATTGGGCTGCAAGAACACCCGCGCAAGCCAGTAGAAATGCACACCGTCTCGGCAAAACCCATGCCGTCGAGGAGCACAGCCCGCATACTGCGAGGGAGGATACTGGAGCTGCATATCTTGATCCCACATGTTCTTCCACTTGATAAGCGCATTTGTAACCGACCTCATTAGTTTGTTGGACTGAAGTGATACTGCTCGAGGCATGCTGGTAGTCGACGAACCATCTGGGCTGGCATGCCCACTGGCAGGGTTACTATGGTAAGCAGAGTACAAGCCATCCTCTTGCGGTGAGGATGCAGGAGGCGATGTCAGTGTCTCGAACGACGTGGGCATGCCAGTCGAGAGTTGTCGCTGAAGCTGCCAAATCTGTATGTGTAACGAATGAATTAGGATAAATTTAGAAAACACATTCGTTGTACGCGGCTGGAACATGAGTGTTGGCGAGTACAAGGCCTCGATGGCATGGTGCATATCTAGCTGCTTCAACCGCTGACTCCCAGCTTGATTGAGAGCTTGCTGTTGGTCCGGACCATTCATGCCAAGCGCGCTGGCACATTTTCCGGAAGTCGTAGCATCCCAAGCTGCGTCGTCGCACGGCAATGGAAGCCTGATTTCCGATGGGTCAAGCTCTGGCTCACAGTTGAAATAAAGCACAAGGGCCGAGTGGTAAAGAAAGACCAGATATGTCACCCTCAATCTCATCTCTTGATTGACCCATGTTGCCCAATTCCACCGAGAATGGTCTGGCTGCTCGCCCAGCTGCAAGTTGTGGAAAAAGCTGTACCCTTCGCTTTCGCTTTCGACCAGTTCAAGCAACCGATATCTTCTAATAATCCAAATCAGTTTCCTGCTATCACTTCGAGCAGTAGCTCGCTCTGCCGGGCCGCCATGCCAAGTAAACAGGATGTACAAAAGAAGAAGAGCTTGAATCTCCTCTAGATACCTCAAGGTTGCGACGTGTCGAGGTTGCGAACTGTCTAGATCACCGCCGTTTTGCGCCTGCTGAAAGAGAAGTGAAGTGCGCTCTATGCCGTATTTTGCTCGCTGCATCAACCCGCGAACTTGTACCTGTGAAACACGATCCGAGTACACCGCCCCGATGCAAATGATTGCCAGGATCAAACCGTCGTATGCCTCTGCGAAATTGAAGGACGCCATATGCAGAAAGGGAAAATGTCCCTGAAAATGGGAAAACTGCTCCAGAAAATGCTTGATATTATCAGCCGCAAGGCATGTTCGGAAGTTTGCATTACTTTGTTGCTCTAGAAGCGAGTCCTGTATCCCAGCAGGGAAGCAAAAGTCAACAAGGCGATCACCTTTTAGCTCAAGAGGATCTTCTTGTGTAGAAGCTAAATTCCAGAGTAGAGGGCCAAGCGTACCATCAGCCCCTAAGTTTGTGGGTGCCATGTAATAACCGTTTGGTTCAGCGGTAGTTTGATCATATTCCTTCTTCACATCCACATGCGACTGCATGCCTTGATAACTGCTCCCCATAGATGACGGAAAGATGTATTCTTGACTCTCCCCAGACTGAAACATCTGGTTCCATTCTTCCCCTACACCGGACGCCACTGACATGGTGCCTTTCCGCTCCTCTGCGCTGCTGGCTGGAAGGCCGTAATGGTGCGGTGATGCAGAAGACGCGGATGGATACATTGCATGGTTGTTCGACCGGGCTGCCTGCTGTATTGATGCCCAGGCGCCATTGCTTGCGGAACCAACAGGGGTTTGGGGCCCAAAGTTTTGATGGGAAGTAGATGGATGTAACGCACTCGGAGTGGTGGTCGCTGTAGAAAAGGGATTTGTTGGAGCGTCGGAGAAGTTGGACGATTTGGAAGAGAAAGTACCGTTCGTATGGCTCGTGTTTTGACGGAGGTTTGTGCTCGGCATCAGACCTGCAGCATTCGTTCCACTTACCGGAGAGTTAGCGTTCGACTTGGCCTGATTGTTCGCATTCTGAGACTTCTTGAAATGGGCGGCAGGATTAGAGAGGTGGCTGGCGCCTGTAGGATTGCCTCGGCGCACCGAGCACTTTTGAAAGTGTCGTTTCAGGATATCACTTCTCGAAAAGGTATCTTTGCACAGAATACACATATAAGGACGATCACCGGTATCTGCTTCGGTCAATGACATGGGTGCCAATTCAAGGACGGAACTCACGTCTTAGCAGGTGTCTTTTCAGGTGTTTGGCATGGAGGTATGTCTTGTTGCAATTTGGACAAGGGAACTTTCCATCCGCATCCTTTGCAGGCATCGCTGCACCCTTGGATGCACCATTCACTCCATTCGTCGTTGTAACGGTAGCCCGGCCAGGCGCACTGGGAAGAATCCCGCGCCTTCCTTGTGAGCCTACAACGTGTGTTGTGGGTTGTTCCCGGGAAGCATCTGTGAGCACGTTCGGCACTGTCTCCGAGCTAGACCATAAAGATGGCCGATTGTCTGGTTGGCTGAAGGGCGTTGTGGACATTGGGGCATACTCGCTTCGCACAGGAGCTGGAGCGATGCGTGGTTGGTATGCTTGTGACGTAGTTGTCGTAGGTGGGTATCCTTGCGGGTTAAGAGCCTGGTGACTTGGTTGTGGCAACAGAGGAGCTGACGAGAACCCGGATGGTACTCCTTGCGGCTGGAACTGCGGAGCTTGCTGGTACCGTCCAGTCAACTGGGCAGGACCACTGGAATTCATGCGCGGTAAGTCCTGGCGATAAGATGGAGGTAGATACGACCCCTGACTGGTAGGAGGCTGTTGCTGATGCTGGTGTATAGGAGGTAGATGAGGTTGGTAAGGCATAGCATACGTTGTTGCCATATTGGAGTATGATGTTTGCTGAACATTTGATGATGAATGCGTTCTTGACAATGAATGTCTAGGGTCCATCACAGGAAGAGAAGTCCACGCAAGAGTTGCACGCCGTCGACACTCATTGAGATTGGTCAACTGAGCAGCAACGAAACTTGGTGGATGACCTCCACAGGGGTGGCTGTGCGAAACCAATCGACGAGCACAGTTGGAATGACAGACCGAGCCAATACTGTCCAGATGCTAAGGTGAAATGAAATGCCCTCTCCACCAAAGTGTCCTATTGTTTTTCCCACTGATGTATTGATGTAGGTAGAGAAAAACCTTTAGGTAAGCTCAACGGGTGCGGGTAGATGAGGGTCTTCGAGGCTCTGTATAGGTATCCACCCGCGGCTGACTTGAAGGGCCCACAAATACGTCGATCCGTCTGCTGCTCCGTGAACACTTCGAGTAGAGTGAAGAAGATGCAGCAGATCCGACGGGGGTCTGTGGAGTTCAACTGCCACGTCGCGAAGCTGGAGAGCGCTTAGAATGTGTTTTCGTGTAAGAGATATTTATTGAAAAATTGCAAGAGGACCAAATAGTGGCAGATTTTGGCTCTGGGCAGAGGCCAAAGTAGTTAAAGTAAGTGCACTGACGCGCCGCGCCCAAAATTTGTGACGGTTCAGAGGCGAGGAGCGACCGGCGTGTCGCACAGTTATTTAGGGGTTCAATATGTAAGCAGACGAATAGCAAGGTTCCCAAGTCAGTCGAAATGAACGACGAAGGGGAAGAGCGAGTTGGAGCGGGTGGTCTCTAAGCTTTCAACCTCCCCTTGAAGAGAGTGGAGCAGGATGATTGGAGGGCAGGAGACGAGATGGCCCAAACGAGAGATGCAGGGTCTGATAGGGTGTAAAAGAAGCAATGATCTGAGAGAAAGAGACGGATTTGCGTGACGCCGGACGAAATGACCAAGAGCGTGACAGGGTGTAAACTGCAGTTTTACTGCAGTTTTCTATCTGGTGCCAAGCAATAATACTAACCTACTAACTTAGTACTAGTAACTTGCTACGTAGGAGTACTACGTACATAGTGCTACCGGAACAATATCGGTCAGCATCTCAACTCGTTACATACTTGATAGATGCATTACCTCTAGCCACCAGGCACAAATGCATAAAAGCTTCTTTGCCTCTCCTATCATTCCATGATGATAACTCTCTCCTTGCACAAAAACAGAAGTTCCAATCTTCCATTGTCAAACCTCCTGCGTCGTACGGCGACCATGCTCTTCGTGTTTGACATGCAGCCTACAAAACACCCACCACAGGTCAACGCGAGAGCAACGCATCAAGGCTTTGTTTCAACGACACATCCATATCAGTGCCCTCCTCATAGCCCAAGGATGGGTCGTGTCCGGCTTTACTAAGAATAAGACGAAAAAAGGGTGTCGATGCTACCCTGCCTTTGACGGAGCAATGTGCCACCCGGCCGAGAATGTCGACGTGCTTGCATATGCCAGTGATCTGACAACTCATACCGAGACGGCGAGCTAGTACTGAGATTATTTATTGACCAGGGTCTACGTCACTGAAATGGCTAGTGCCAACGTCCTTTGGGAAAGACTGCAAGGGATATCTTATCCAGGTCAGAAGTCAGGCCTCTCGTTTTGAGGAAGCAGAAGTATCATTATCCGTAGCCATCTCCGTCTGGTCGGCTTTTCCCGAGTGCATGCTTCTCTTACCACGTATTTGTGTAGTCCTGGTTTTTCGCACTCGCAGTCGTAAGAATACTACGTGGAGCATGGCAAAATGCGAACTACTACGTAGTACCTTAGGCATGCTAGCGTTAGTAGGCTGCGGGAATAGCGCGGGAATAGCGCCGGAGATCTACGCGTAGGGGAAGCGGCAGTTGACACTGGGAAGGACGACGACAAAGCTACGAGTCATGTGAAAGTCCCAAAACGAGAGTCGATTCGAATGTACGCATCAATTGCTGCAATCCAACTCGTACTCTAACTACTACTTGGACGAAGTATACGACTCGGCAAGTTTGCAACACAAACCACTAACTTACAGTCTTGGTCTGGGTGACAGCACAGCTGAAGGCAGCCGGGGAGCAGTCATTGTTTCCCGGCTGTCTGATGAGGAACATCCTGGTTACTTTAGATGTTCGGCCGGTCGTTGACTCGCCACAGAGAGCATTACATAATTACTGGACCAGGCCGCGAAATCTCTTCCTTTGATACTCTATCTACTGGTCCATTTCTTGGCCAATCAAAACTCATGCTTCTGCAGAATGTTTGAAGATCAGTCTGTAAACGTTTTCCTAGAACGTCCTCATCCTCTACCTACCCTCCCTGCCTTAGCGCAAGCACGATAACAACCGCTCCATTGCTCGTATCATCTACTACCAGTCTCCGAAGTACGGCCAGCTAGCTCATGCAGGAATGAGCTCGCTGTGCACCCGCTACCTCCCCATAGTTGGGCATTGTTGATGCCATCGTCTGCTGTGAACATAAACCCTGATAGGCCAATTGCTTAAGTTGGACGAGTTGACCATCAATTTGAAGTCCAGGTTATGCACATCGATCTTCCGATCCCGATTTCTATGGAATACCATCATAATTGAGACCACACCTCTGCTGAAGACCTCACCTTTCCGCAGAGTTCTCTAGCTGGACATTTATTGAGGCTTTAATCATCGTGAAGGACAATGGCCAACAGTCACAGTCACTTTGAGCGAGACCTTTCTCTGGGATTGTGGTCGCTTTCGCAATGGACCAGGCAATTCACATATCATTCGCCATATGTTCAACCTCATGCAGGTGTGCTGCAGATACATTTTGTCACACGTGCGGAAATGCAAGCCGACCACACCGTATTCGAGTACAAAAGACGCTGCATTGTCCTCGCCCTTCCATGCAGCATGGGCTTCTAACCTCCCAAGAGAGGCGATTTTGTGGTCCACAGTGTCGATTTCCAGCAGCTTGGTTACTTTGTCATCCGCCTCCGCAGAAATGCTTACAAGCAATCAAGATCATTTTCACCTTTCGACCTGCATGAAGGACAATTCACCGAACGTTTGAAGTGGAAGCAGCAGGCTAAGCACCCCTACCAGAACACCATTTCGCAAGCAACTTCCCTTTCCGTTTTCTGGCGCCGGGGTTTGATGCTTGCCCTTTGCATTTTGAAAGACTAAGATTGGTCTTTAGATCCAAGCAGGTCCACAGCCGAGCCTTGACTACGAATCCTTCTCAGATCGATAGCTACGTCTGTCATACTCGAGTAAGATCGCATGGGCTTCCATGATCGTGGGTCACTCTCACCTGACTTTTCCCCGCATGTTTCACAGCTTCCTCCGCCCCCACACTATCACAGATCGTTCCACGAGAGCCTGGACTCGTGACTGGGGGAGACATGTGGTCTAGGCGCCTGCCAGCCCATGATTATTACAGAACATGTGCTCGCAGGGTAGATAGCCAACTTCTTTGCCGGATCAAGGCATTTCTTGGGTATGTACGAGGAATAACAAGCAGCAGCTTGATAAGCGGGAAATCGATGAGATATACGGTCGTGCCACACAGCTTACCGTGGAAGCAGCCGAAGAGATCTCCGACTGTTCTCCTCGGATCAAGCGAGAATGCTTCGTTTACTGCGCCATGGTTGTTCATCAGCAGAGCCTCATCCCGCTGAGCCACTTCGTAATAAAGAGAAGGAACCGAATTGATGCCGAGATGAGCCCTGCACGCCTATGGTACACGACTTTGGAAGAACGCACTCATACAGAGTTGAAGCCAAGCAGAAACGACCAACTGTGCTGTTGACCACCAAATATCAGATCTAATCCCCCTTTTTCGTCCTTAAGGACTTCCCAACGCCCGCATGCTGTCCTGTTGTGCTTCCTGACCGCCTTACTTCGATCCTGATGACACCTGTCTCTGTCGTGTCACCGTCTTTGGGATCGTACTATTCATCCGTGCCTCAGAATGTGACACGTTCCCGAACCATAGACATAGGTAGCAAGTGGCTAACCGTCCTTTGACCACAACCTGTCATCTGGAGCAATCTGTGCGTGAGTGGCCTCAAACAGCCTGGCTAATGACTATTCACTCATCTTCGAGCAGCAAACCCGGCTTCATTGGGCCACTCTCGGGCAAGTCAATACTCCAGATCCTCAGAGCACATCCAATTGCGCAAACAACCAAATCTTTGCATCTGCCAATCATGCCATGACGCTGACCCTTGAGCCCAGGCCTGGTGCAGGATTTTGCGAGAATAAGTTTACTGGTGAGGTTGGAGCAGTGCCCAAAGTCTCACAGATGGCTCATACCAGTACTTTGGCTAACGACCTTGGCCAGTGTTTGGTGTCGTTGTCCTTGTTGTTGTCCTTGTCGCTGTCGCTGTCAGTGTACAGTGCTCATGCGACTACAATGCTGCCAGCGCCTTCTGATGAAAGATATTCGTATTCAGTAATCGGGCCATAGTTTGTTACTGTTGAACTTCTGAGAGGGCCTATTGGCCAGGTTTCAGACGCGTAATCCCTACATTTCGCCTGCTTTTTGATTGGTCAATTTCTAACTTACTGCAGTTTGGCTTCTAATTTTGCTGTACGGTACTCCGTACTACGTACAGCCCTTTGTACATAGATCTATCTACGCTCTTCTACTCCGTAACCCCCCCTAGCAATCGAACACACTTTTGCTTTTCTTCGCACTCTTGCACAGCAGGTAGGTTCACAGTTACCAATATATTGGGCCCCGATCCGCAGTCTTAGCAAAAAAGACGAATGATGAGACCCAATCTTGATTGGGCGGTTTCTTGACGCCGATTTTCAGCCATGGAGGAGGGGAGAACAAAGAAGATGTCAACCTGCTATGCAGAGTGCGTAGAGAAGCAAGTTGATTGATAGCTACGGGGGTAGAGAGCGTAGATCTATGTACAATTGGCTGTACCGTACAGCGAAATTAGAAGCGAAATTGCGTCGGAAATTGACCAATTAGAAGCAGCAGAAACGCAGGGATTACGCATATTAAACGCGGCCAATAGGCCCTCTCAGAAGGTCAACAGAAGATGAACCAAATAGGCCTGGGATTGTAAAAGATGATAAATACCACGTCGCCAGATGGTGGCGCCGCCGCCAGCATTAGCTGGGGCTGAGGTGATTTTTGATGCACTGGTAGCCCTTTCTTTTCCTCTCTTTAATTGGACTTTTGTCCCCATGTTGGTTTCTGACCATCACTAATAGGGGGGGTGGGGAGGAGGGCTGGCTGGCATCTTCTTTGCCGGGAGACGGTGACGAGGGCGATGACGATGACGATGATGAAACCTTGGGAATAGGGAGTCTGGGGTTGGAGATGCTGCGAGTTTCAACTGTAGGTTAACTGCTAGAGAGGTTGGAAATAGGAGGAGGAGGAGAGAGGTATGAACTGGGACGGTAGGCATTGCGGGAGCTAGATGTGATGTATTATGATGAGATTACTCTTCCATCGCGTACCGACACTTTTGTCTGAGGGCGTTGTTGTAGCAAGCAGGACCAGGGGAGGGGGGCATCTGGGCTCTGGACTTTCTTCTCCTTCTTTTTCTTCTTCTCCTCCTCCTTCTCCTCCTCCTCCTTCTCCTCCTCCTCCTTCTCCCGGTTTTCACATTCAGTGGAGAGGCTCCAAGCTTATAGTGCCGATGATTGGTACAGTCGACGATTGTGAAATGAAGATGGGACGCAGCCAGTCCACTCTGCTGGCTCGGGGAATCTCGAGTACATATATAAACTCCACAGGATTTAACGCGTTGACCATTATCATTCGCGGCTTATGGCGGAACCCCCGCGTCTATATGTTGTAGCTTGGAATGAAATAGCCATCTTCTGCCTCGCTATCTCATACCGTGCATCCAGACGCTCAAATCCTCCGCGCTCAACGACCGGCACCAGACTTACCGCCCACAGGCAGCACCCCCCTGGCCTTCCCCCTGATCTCCGCCAGCGCGCTCTCGATTCCCTCCCCCCCCTCCCTAACAGCACCCCACCTCTCCCTGACCTCCGCCTCGAACCTCAGCGCAACATCCCTCCTCTTCTCCCTCGCTCCCCTCAGCTCCTGAAACAATTCCCCCAGTCTCTTTTCAAAGAACTCTGTCGATGCCGTCCACTGGTCTTTGGTCTGAGAGGCGAAGAATTTGGCGCGTTCGGATTCCGAGAGGGATCTCAGGGTTGAGAGTTTTTCGAGATGGGTGGACGAGGTGGTGGTGGAGGTACTAGACGGATGGCGGGGATCGAGGTCGAAGAATTCTTTGTCAAGGTCGGAGAAGGACACTGATTTCAGGGTGGCTGGGTCGTGGTCAAGCAGGTCGGAGTGGGGGCGTTTTTTCTTGTTTGTCTTGTCTCTTGAGTTGGTAGGGGGAAAGAGTGGTGGTGGAGTTGTATTGCCGGAGGAGTCGGTGTAAGAGGATGTTTTGTCAAAGGTTGCGGTGATTTGCGCACTGTTTACCGGTGCTGGTGGTGGGATGACGACGGTAGACTTGGTGGGTTTCGCTGGTGGTGCCATAATGGAACTCTGGCTTGGGCGAGGTCGTGAGGTCGGTCGTTGTCTGTACGGCACAGGGGAAGGAGAACGGACGGGAGATGGATTCTGGATGAAGCTTGGAACGGGTAGGGACTGGGCCTGAAGATACCGAGCATTGCTTGGATCTCTTCGAGCTTCGCCTATCTCGTCCCAGAAAGCAGGGCCAGCCTCAACATTGACGGGATCGCCAAAATGCACATCGTTTTGATGATAGCGCTCGTCTTCTTCCTTCTTGAAATGGTTGTGGCCTTCCTCTTTCTCTTCGGGTGGTCCATACTGCTGCTCGTAATCGTTGAAATTGCCCGCGCTGAGTAATTTTGGTGACGACTGGACGTGACCGTTGCGCACCCCATACGGTTGCTCTTGTAATATGCCCTCAATGGAACTGATAGTACTATCCTCAAGCTCTGTGTCATCAAATTTACTCTTCTTCTGCTGCTTGAGGTCAGTAACGTTGCGTCTCTGCGGTATCTTACTCACGGATCCTAGTTCTGAGTCGGAGACAAGAGGATAGCGAGCTGCAAGGGCTTTAGCTAGGCCGGACAGGTCACTCACATTGCTCTCGGGATTCGCGTCCAGAGAAGTCTTGGGGACTTTTGCATATAAATCTTTGGCCCGAAAAGCTGGCTTGATAACGGCGTCATCTGCTACGTGATTGACATTTCCAAAGGGGTTGTTGCGTGGTTTCTCATCTTTCTTCTTCACGAAGCGATTAACTCCGCTCATTGTTATGCCGCAGCGAGAAGTTAGTTCTTAGCCAGCATCTACCTGCATGACAGATTCCAGACGACAGCTGGCGTGTGGTAAGACAGTATGGAGGGGCCTAAGAGAATCAAGTGGCTATTGAAAAGTTGCTATTAAGGACTCGTACGTTCCGTGAGAATGATGCGTGACCGAGTTCGGAAACTATGCGCATGAATTTCTCGAGTATCACGAACACGGAACACGAACACGGCGCGTTCATCACGTGCTAATTGTGCGCGTTAATGAAGGGCATGCATTAATGTCCTCAAGATTGTAATACCACATCCAGGTGCTGGAGCTCAACGTACGACACCCATTCCTCATTAACGCGTTCAAAGTGTTATAAAACTCAGTCATCATAACCATGCTAACGCTGTAGACATAAATCTTCCAAGATAACACATCTCGACTCCCTTGGACCCTTCGTGATATCCAGTGTGGTAACCCAAAATCCCAGCCTCAGATGAAGTCGTCATTAGCGGTCCATCTTTCTCTTCCGTGCCGGAGCATGGCCATTCTGGCCCGCCCTCGGGTCACCCTCAGAAATGAAAGCATCTTGATGGCCTCGTCTCGCTGGCTTCCTCCATTCTGGCATCACCTTTGCTCTTTTGAAAACGATTTCGTCCTCACTGCTGCTCGCTTCGTTGTACTCTTTTTCTATTCGCCGATGGGTATTGTCGGAAAATCCATTGAATTTATCATTTTCAGGATGGTCTGAGTGTGGATCCCAGACAGCTAACCCATCTGGTGGTATTGCCTCGTCTTGCGGCTGGCCTCTGCCATGTTGGATTAGCGATCCGTTGATGCTTGTCAATGACCAAGCGAAGACCGCCACCTCACGAATCGTATTCATGACGGTGCTTGTCTCGGGCCCTGCTGGGCATCTTGATACACAGGGTGCTACAGACGCCGGCGGACCACCAGCCTCAACACTATGTGCTTCTGGTGGAGCTGCAGGCTCTGTCACAGGTAGGGACCATGGTGAGGCAAAAAGGCTATTCTCGAAGCCACCGGGTGCCTCTGGACCGTAAAATTGCGCAACAGATGGTCTGGCTCGGCGTAGGACCACAACTAGTCCATCTGAGGTGCATGACACCACTGCTTCTACCTCCACCGGACCAACATCCAGAGGCATTTCTTCCACAGGTGTCATAGATGATGCCGAAGATCGTGTCGTTATAGGCGGATCGAAGATTGCATCATCACGGTTAGCACCAAGGTCTGTGCTGTTCCCAGATGCCGATCTGGACTTGTTCATATCCTTAACTGCTGGTGAGATGGAATCTTCCGTTTCATCTGTATGAGCCCGAGAGCGACTATGATTGTGTGCATCGCTATATGCATCAGCCTGATCTGGTCGCTGAAGACGGACGCCTCCTTCGTCCTCGTCTTCATCACTGCTCTGTGTCTGCTCCCTCGTGGCGGCACGGTTTCTTTCTTCCAACAGGGGGTTGCGGAACCAGAACCGGAGATAGGCTATCGAGTCGTTCGACTTAGCACTTTCTAAGCAGCGGACCGCATCTTGCAGGCACTCTTCTGCAATGCAAAAGTAAAAGCTTTTATTGATCAATTGGTCTGCTCGGACCCCGAGGATGCTGGAGACGCAATTGGTAGCATACATGATTGTGGAAGTTCGGGTAAATCGATTGAGGAATAGGGCCGCTCTCGGTTCGTGTGAGGCGGAAGTAGGAGCTTCTGAGAATTTGCTAGAGATGTAGGACAGCATGTGATACCGCGGATCCCGGGGAGATGAGGAAAAGAGTCTCTGAACCATTGGAGCTTCCTTCTGCCGTTCTGATCATGAGTTAGATATGTGGATGAAGTTCAACTGCTCAGTACTTACGCAAGCTCCGTGGTCCTCGGCGGTAAATGCTGGTACTGGCAACAAGGACCTCGTAGACAACAGTGAAAACGCATTCGCAACTGACAAAAGAACCGTTCTTCTGCTTTACTTTGCAATAAAAAAGTGCTGCAGCCTTATCCAATTCAATCCCGCGGCCATGACTTGCTTTCGCGAACGGAATCTCTTGAGGATGGAAGTAGTCCCAGCATGGTCTTCCGACCACTTCGTCTGGAAGATAGCCGAGGATGTCTTCTACAGAGTCGGATGCATATCGAATTCGCGCGTCCAGTGAAAGATCTGAGTTGGGTCAGACATTGCCCACCTTGAAGATAACGAGTACCTCACCATGGATTGTGATAAAGGTGGTCTCCATTCTGGAGGAGGATAATCAATCGCACCAGCACACGTCGATTTCTCTCAGGAGTAGCAGTCTTGGTGGACACTGGCCTCCCAGCCAAAATGGAAGTACGAGCTCTCTTAAAGGATGGGATGCCGTGTTATTGCATTCCCAGCTCCAAAGTTACTCAGATGCATGGGATGACAACACTAATGCACTGTCCCCGGGGTGCATGGAAGAATTGAACGCTCACGCAGGAGTCAGGAAGTTGACCAGTGCGAAGCAGTTCCGACGACGTGTTACTCGCAGGCAGTAGAGATCCGGTAGAGTTCAGTCAATCCTCTGCAGCAATAACGGGCGACGTTGCGGGAGCGGCAATAAGGTTCAGGTAGGATTTGCTGGTTCGGAACCGTTAGAGAGAAAGCAGGTTGTAGTACAGTGGAGAAGTAGTGATGATACACAACAAAGCTGTGGACGGCGAGGCTCAAATTTCGCCACTCATTCGCTGTTGCGATATGACTGGTGTGACCAACAGCGGTCAGCTTGTAAATTCATGAGTACTTCGATTGATAATCGAAAGGTACCCAACCAAATGCTGGTCGAAGGGGGGAAAATTGTGTCTTACTTTCGGTAGATTCACAAACTTCCTGCTGGCAACATAACGGCATGGACTCGTTCCCGCACCCTTCACCGTCACAGGGGGTCTGAGCTCCAAGCCCACCAACCTCAAAATTAGACAGGTTCTTGACGTGAATCAACTGCTCTTGTAGGATCCTTAATGCAGCTATGGCGCGGTATTCGAGCAGTGGTACCTCAGCCCCTTGGCCTACTGGAATGATGATGTGATCCAATCCACCCTCAAGTGGAACTTCGGCCTCGGACTGGCCTGGAACTGATTCCGATTTGCAGTCGAAAGAGGCTAAACGGGCATGCAAAGAGACAAGATGGGTGACCTGTCCAAAGACGGCGGGAGCAAGAAAGCGAAAGGATACCTTCAAATCCGTGGGACCAAAAATGATGGTAACGATGAAAAGTGGTCTGCCTGGTTAAGCCACGCATGCAAGGATCAGCCAGCCGTGCATCAACTAAGCATGAAAGTCCTTAGCGGTTCCTTCCATCGACGATTTGACTTATTGTGCCAATCACAAACTGGTATAGAAATTCCAAGACGAAGTACTGGACGAATGTGGTACTAGAGTAGATGCAGGATATACCCTCGGATTATCTACGCATACGTTGCATGCTCAAAGCTACACCTTACACGAGTGCCGCCTGCAACCTCAATTCATCATTTTCCTTCTCCATGCAGAATTGCGTCGAGTTCACAGCCTCCCCGTAACAACATCAAAGGCGAGCCTGAGCCACCCCGGCGGCTTGAGAAGCCGGATGAGGTGCTAGCTTCTCCGTCTCCCTCTCTATCCTTGCGCCTAGGCCTTTGTTGATCCTTCTAAACATCTCATAAGTCCTCCGGCGTACCGGTTCCCTAGCTGCGCATAGGTGTCCAGCCACATTGTTCACGAAATTATCCTGTTGGCCATGCTGGCGTCCTAGAACTTCCCATAATCCATTTGGCTGAACGAAGTCTTCATCCGTCACAGGCAGTTGCTGAGCCACAGCTGCCCCTGCCCACTTCTCATGTTCCTGGCTCGGCTTGACTGGCTTGTACGTCATGTTTCGGAAGGAGCCTAAATAGGAAAGTGGTCAACAGAGGCAAGATGAACAGTCCACCGACGGCAACGTACTCGGATAGGAAGGATTGGCCCCGTAGTTGCCATTGACAGCCATCATCCCGTCTCTCTGGTAAGGGTTGAAAGCGCGCAGCGGTTGGTTGACAGGAATCTGTTGATAGTTGACTCCGAGACGATGCCGGTGGGTATCTGGATATGAAAATAATCGCGATTGAAGAACGGGATCCGCAGAAGGTTCTACTCCAGGGACCATATGCGACGGGGAGAAAGCTACTTGCTCGATTTCCGCAAAATAATTCTCAGGATTTTTACTCAGGGTGAACTTGCCAAACCTACGAAGCGGCACATCGTTTTGCGGCCAGACCTTGGTCAGATCAAAGATATTCCAGCGGAACTTCTCTGCCTGTTCCGGACTCAGGACCTGGACATAGCATGTCCAAGAAGGGTAATCGCCCTTCTCGATGGAGTCAAACAGATCTTGCGTATGGTGGTCCGGGTTCTCGGAAGCCATTTGACCAGCTTCCGCGTTGGTAAAGGTCTTACTGCCCTGGTCTGTTTTGCAATGAACCTGGATATAGTTAAATTTACCATCAGGTCTGGTAAACTTATAGGTGTGACCCGAATAGCCGTTCATATGACGATAAGAGTACGGGGTGCCACGGTCAGAGAAGAGGTGCATCACCTGGTGTGCCGACTCTTGATGCGTCGAGAGGTAGTCCCAGAACATAGTGGCGTCCTTGAGGTTCGTCTGTGGATTTCGTTTCTGAGTATGAATAAACTGGCTGGGTCAGTACTAGGGGTCAAACACTCTAGAATCTAGCCTTGCTCACGATCGGAAACTTGCTTGGATCTCGGAGGAAGAAGATAGGTGTGTTGTTGAAGACCCAATCCCAATTGCCCTCATCGGTGTAAAACTTGATCGAGAAGCCACGAGGATCGCGCGCACTGTCTGGCGAACCTTTCTCGCCACCAACCGTCGAGAAGCGCGCAATACACTTTGTCTTCTTGCCAACCTCTGACAACATATCAATTGAAGTCTGGTATCCATCAGCGCGCTATAAGGACTGTGGAGGCTGGTGGCTGTAGGCTGTAGGCTGTAGACTTCATACCAGGTCAGAGATGTCGTCGGTCACCTCAAACTCTCCATAAGCACCAGCCCCTTTGGCATGTACAACTCGTTCGGGGATGCGTTCACGATCAAAATGCGCCAGAAGGTCGATCAGGTGACTGATCTGGCATTAGCGAACCCTGGTTCTAAATTTGGGGAAATATCGTCATCGAGGAACTCACAAATCCTGGAGAAGGAGAGGTCCATTCTGTCCGATCCTTTGCGATGACTCGGGATCCATGACTGTAGGATAGACCAATTAGAAGGTATATACACATAATCATCTACGCCAGACGCACCGGGGCAGCCATTGCTAGTGGTGTAGACTGGAGTCTGCTCATACTGGAAAGCTATTGAAGTTCAGTGAGAGTGCAGCAGAAGAGGAGTGTAGAAGCATACTTACTGCCCGGCTTGTCGTTTGCGACCATGATCAATACGAGGTAGCAGTAGATATCCAAAGAGATGATCCGAAAATTCCAAGCAGGCAATGATATCTCTAGCAGATTGAACTGGGATGGACAAGTTCCCAGAAAACAAGCCTCGGTAAGTACTAGTAAGTAGTAGGTTGATGTATGCCAAGGTGAAGATTATCATTCAAATGGCACTGCAGAAGATGCTTCTGGTATGCTCCGCCTGAAGACTCGTCAACCTGATCTCCGTCATCGGACTTGATTTACCAAGGCCCGACAACGACAGCTTGACGTGCGAAGGCTGAGCCGATAGAGGCAAGCAGGCTCCGTCGTACATCTACGTAGTATGTATCTTTTTATGTGTGTGCTGGTCAGAGCTGGGCAGGTACTATCGGAGCAAGATGTACACTTCAATGCAGACAGCCATCTCACCGTCATACTCGAAGCAGGACCCACCGGACAATGTAGGTTTGTTAGGTGCCCTGTGTAACACACGGAGTACAAATACTTTGCTTGAGCACTGAGTGCCCTTTACAGTGGAGACTAACACCGGATAGACAAGTCAGGCTCAGTGACTAGATTGATGAGAGCAACCAGAGAGGCCGGAAGAGGTTACATAACTCCTATTTCAACCCCTTCAAAAGACAGACTATGCAAGCCAACAGGGAAGAAGAAGGAGTTGCGGCACGTTGCCGTAGTCCTTCATAAGGTGATGTTCATCCAATGATCCAAAGTTAGTCATGTCCTCCAGAAGCGCCACCTTGATGCTCCCCTAATGATGCCCTGGGTATCTTGCTGAAGCATAAACTATAGATAGGTCACACCAAGCACAGGTAGCCATGCCTTGAGACTGCCGACTCCCTATGACGCCATTGGTCTAGCAACAAACATCCCAACCCGGTTTAGTGAAGGCTAGCAGCATCGATGACCTCAAAATCGTCGTCATCTGCATCTGCCATGTAACCGTCTCTGGCGTCGACGAATTCGTATTCTTTGGCAAGCTTCTCGGTTTCTTTGTGCTCGAATCGTTCGAGGGCCTGAGCGACTGCCATGCTCAGGATTTGACTACCGCCACCAGGACCACGGGCGGCATCATAGCTATATGTGATATCTGCGTCTGGGTCGGGCGCCGCTGAAGCTTCCCGTATTTCCTCTTCCCCAGCAGAAGAGTCGGAGGCAGCTGCTCTGTCTAGAACGTTCCCCCGAGCTCGTTTTCTAGCCGAGTTGATGTCCTTGCAGAAGACGCTTCTTGTGCCGGAGACATGTTCGTGGTGGCCACAAAATCTGTAGAAAACATGTTAGATTCGATGCGTCACGGCAGGCGACAAAGCCAGACTCACCGAATCGATCTGGGGTTTGCTGGCTTGTCCCAACAATCAGTGCATGCTTCAACCCCACCCAAATGAGTGCAGCGTTCTTTGCCAGAAGCTGGCACCCCCCCCTTGGCCCATTTGTGGTTGTGGTTGCGGACACGCTGAACGTCTCTGGCTTGGCTGCGGATGTCCCCAGCTGGAAACGCCATGACTGTGGAGGGTTTCGAGGAAGCTTCGAGATTCGAATCAGAAGGCGAGATCGAGGCAGAAATGCTGGGTAGATTCTTTCGGTCACCTCCGCTTGTGTAAGTGCAGGAGCTGCTGGAGTGTGGTAGTAATGTGATAAGCTATAAGAACTAGGATAGAGGCAAAGGCCGATGCTGACGTTGACAAAGGAGTATTCAGGAGCACGATGACGAAAGTGCCTGTGGAACCAGAACGAAACTTCGGGCAAGGACGAGCAGAGGACGCCTTGGGATAGTACTAAGTTGTGACTGGTATCAGCAGACAAAGAAGGTAATGGTAAGTGTAGGCGATAGTAACATATTATGCACAAAGGGGGTTTGGAGAGGGGTAGGGGGAGTATGAAAGAGCGAGAGACAATTGTAGTGAAGACAGAAGGAAATATGCAAGGAGCGATGATGGGGCGGAACGAGTTGTTAAATGACTGATCATGAGCTGATGCTGGCGTATCATCAGGACGAGAGGAGTCATCTGGTTCAGGGTCCGGTCTCAGGGCGTGAGATCTGTGGGTTTGGTGGGTTTGGTGGGTTCGAAACTGGTTTGGTTAGGCTTTACCGTAATCTGCCTACTACTTACCCTGTAGTACTGTAGCGAACAGACCACGATAAGGAATCTCCCAATTCTTACCCTCTTCTCCATATTCCTTATCCCAGCGATTTGAATGGCCATGATGACTCTCATAAGGAACTTTGCTCTTGGTACTATAGTGCAATTTCAAACGGGATTACACAATCATCGTGTTCTGATGCAGCTGGGCCAGAATGCGGCTGTAATAAATGACGTCTGTAATCCTGATACTCAATTCTGTGGGCCTGGCCTATATGTCTGTGACTGTGGCCGTTTGGGGAGTCATCAGTCATCCCCAGTCATCCCCAGTCATCCCCGTCTCTAACTCCGCCCGCAGGTCTTGGTTCCTGATCCCAACTCCTCAAAGCTATTCCCAATCATAGAAGCACGTTCAACGCCACTGAGGTCATGCCTGTCGCCTGCAGCGATACGTAGTAATTAGCTGGGTCTGGCCTCTCAAGGAAGGTTTCCCCACAGATCACTGCACATGTGTTCCCAGCTGTTTCTATATACCTGACAACTCGCGGCATTGGTTACTCAAATAAGGTGGTCATGGAGATTGTTCCATGCATGTCCGGCTGAACTCTGTGTCAACGCAGGCCACAGCTTCTGGTCCCTCCCATGGCGTTGTTGTAGACCCCTGACCAAGATTCGGATACTTGAGCAGCAAAAAACGTGCTTCCCGCCGTAACAAATGCTGGCCAGCTCTTCAAAACATCCGGAGCATCATGTCAAGATTGCATTGCATTGCACCCGATATAGAGAGCTGTGCAGTATGACTGAATGCATCCAGTCTCTTATAAATCTCTACGTGTACGGCCGCAGGTATCGGGGTGGCATGACAAGGTATGATTTCGAAGGCGATGCCTTTCCACACGGTGGCCGTTAGAAGGTCGGAGATCTTGTTCCTCAACTCGTCGTATCGTCCTCATCATCTGGCTCACTCTCCTCTCCTGGGATTCTAGTAGGAAACCATCCCCATCTCTCCATATCCACCCAGGCTTCTGCAATCCCATTACCCTGGTCGTTCACAACAATGCCTTCCGCCCTCAATTTCTGCACGTGCCTACTCGCACCAGCACCGCCATCACCTCTGGGGCTAATCCCACCTTTTGCATTTACCACCCGCTGCCAAGGCACATTCTGGTCATGGTAGAAATGACGATCAGGGTCTGTCGGGTCAAATGACGGCAGATGTTTGAGACACACGCCTACTTGACGCGCACGTTGCGGATAGCCGAGGAGCAGAGCGATATGACCATAGGATGTGCATCGGCCTGGGGGAATTAGTTGGACGGTAGAGTAGACAGCATCATACCACCACTGTGCTTCTTCGGTGCGCGGCATGTCTGTAAGCTCGACCTGCTTGGGGCTACGGCTTTCATACGTCGTATTGTGCTTCTCTAATGGGATTCATTTGGCATCGAGTATTTGTGTGCGCAAAATTGGACTGTGCCTTGCCAAGCTAGGAAATCAACTCTATGTATCTAATCTTGGAGTGCAAACAGGTCAAAACTTCACCTTGGCCTTGTCCCTTTCACATCCCCACGTGGAAAGACTGGAGGTCCAGAACCGACAACCACAGGCTCGATTTCTATCTGCCCTCCCATCCCAGCCAGAACTCACTTCAGCATGTCGTCCCTCTCCACTTACCTCGCAAAGAACTACCTCACAGCCTCCAACTCCTCCCCCACAGATCTCTCCTCCCGGCCCCGAAAGCGCCGAAAGAAAGACGAATCCTCCTCCAAAAACACAGGCCTTATAATCGCTGACGACGACCAAGATCTTGCCCTCTCCAAACACACTAACACTGAGATTGACGACGAAAACCCGACCTTCGACATCAACACCCGCTCCGCCGAATTTCGCCGCGCGAAAAAGAACAATTGGAAAACGATTGGCGCCCCACCACCCACGGATGCAGATCAAGCCGCCGCAGACCTTATCCTCGCTAATGCAGCCAAAGATAGTGATGTGCGACGAAGACAGACGGAGGGCGAAGATGCACCGGCCATCGCTGGAGAGACCGAGGATACAGAACCGCAGAAGGTGAGGGGTGGAATACAAACTGCAGAAGAAACAGCCCAGCTAGAAGCAGCTGCCCAGGCACGACGTGCGGTAGACGCAAAAGCATCCAAAAGCATGCGCAAGGCAGAAGCAGAGGAGACGGTTTACCGTGACGCCACGGGTCGGAGGATTGATATTAGCATGAGGAGGGCGGAAGCGCGGGCCGCGGAGCAAGAGAAGCTGAGGCAGGAGAAGAGGGAGAAGGAGGAGGCAATGGGGGATGTTCAAAGGCGGGAGAAGGAGGAGAGGAAGCAGGCGGTGGAGGAGGCGAGGTTTTTGGGGGTGGCGAGATATGCGGACGATGAGGGTTTGAATGAGGAGATGAAGGGGGTGGGAAGATGGGGCGATCCCATGGCAGGATATGTGAGTGAGAAGAAGACTACCAAGGCCCATACGGGTAGAGGTGAGGGAGGCAGTGCAGAGCCAATGTCGACTACGGTGGCGAGTGGCCAGCGGAGGAAAGAGTATCCAGGTGCTGCCGCGCCAAATAGATACGGTATACGACCTGGCTGGAGGTGGGATGGGGTGGATCGAGGAAACGGCTTTGAAAAGGAGTGGTTTCAGGCAAGAGGGAGGAAGAGCAGAAATGAAAATCTGGAATACCAGTGGCAGATGGACGAGTAGAGCGATATCGCGAGACTATCTTATACATGATACCCATTCTATTTTTCTCTCTCTCAATATTTCGTTGTCTCGCCATCTGGGAACGTGTGTTGGACCGCACCACTTCCATACATCGATATAGTGTAGTACCTAGTACTGACAAAATGTTCTCCAACATTGATCAGCTTCAGGGACTTCTGTGTAAGCACATCAACCGCAAGCAAGCTCCAATCTGTCATGTACCGGGTGACAACAATGTCATCCAAGCGAACTCCGGTGTCTGGCGTCGACTCTTCGAGATATTCCTTATAGCATTGCTAACTGGTGTACGAGGCCAGGCAGGCACCAAACAGTGCAAGCAAATCTGGAGTTCTTCCTCACTCCGTACCTTGTCGTAATGCAAGCCGGCAAATCATGTAGCCGAGACGAATAGAGAGATGCTCCAGGCTCCAACGGCAGATAGCTTGATTGGTGAGACTAGACATCGAATCCAGCCAACCTTTGCTCATGGTCTTGTCCGAATGCTCGGGCAGGCAGGGATGATGGCAGCAGCCCTCGAACAGATGCCAACTCAATCACAAGGGCGACAACAGCGGCCTTGGAAGGGTTGTCCGTTAACAGCAGACGACATCCTTACGCAGTCTTCTCTACACCTGAGAGCTGGGTGCATGAGCTGGGTGCAGGAGGTGGGTGACATGTAGCATGGCTTGTAAGGCGCCCAAGGACAGTGCTAGGAGTAACTAGGAGGTACTAGGAGGTACTAGGAGCTACTAGGAGCTACTAGGAGCTACTAGGAGCTACTAGGAGCTACTTCCCACATAGCAGGTCTCGGCCGGCCCGATGCCCGACGCCCGACGGAGTAGCACGTTATAACTACTCTGTAGATTAACTTCCATGCTTATCCTCCGATACTTATTATTCGGGTTGGACAATGTGTAACCACCTGTGCCCTACTACCATTCACGGTGGCACAGACGGGATAAATGTCCTCAGGCGGTTGATGGCCATACGAGGTGGCTTTGGGAGGTGGGACGAGGCCAATTTCCTTCCCTCCGCCCGGGATTGCTCAAGCGAGGTGCATATGTACTAAGTAGGGTGGGTTAATCGTTAAGGCTGCGGTCGCACATGCCTCCTGCCCCGATGCACGAGCTGGCAGGATCGCCCACACCTCCTTCTCAGCCTTTCCTCTTGTCTTCCCTCCTGCTGGCCCCATTTCTCCTTTCGCATCTTGTTCATTGCGTCAATCTACAAGGAGTACATGATGACACTCCATGCGCTGGCAGCAGACGCACATCTTGTCTGACCACAACTCGAGATCGAGCCTGGTTCAAGCTTTGGCGGCGGTTAAGACTTCCGAGATGGACGTGCTATCTGTCTCTGCATGTGTTCAGGCAGGCATGTTGGCTTCTCCCGAATGACAGGCGCTTGGTTCGCTAATGTGCCATCCCAGTGATAAGCGCGTTTCAGGATGCAGCAGGACTTGTCCGACGCATCAAGGAGAAGCAGGATAGCAGCGATGGAGAGGAAAGCTTCAGGCAACACATCCACGCACTGGAGATGTCTCTCGACCTAGGCCCCCCTATTGTGCAGGGACAATACGACAGCGACTTCAGGAAATTCGGCGAAACCTATGCACGGGGAGACAGCATTGCTCGAGAACAATTGAAAGATGTCCTCATTACCCTGCAAATGGCTGTACTTTCTAATCTTACTGGCGTCTGGACGGGAACTCGCTCTCTCGATTACAAGGCGCTCCAAGTCGCCACCGACGACAGTCGAGTCAATGCTGTCATGTGCTTGATCCAGTGGCAGCAGCGTCTTTCGTCAGCAGCGACGGCTCAACAGCAGAAGTCCCCCCCTTATCCGCTGGACTCGAACTCACGACCCATGACTCCGCCTTTAACCAATGCCAGCAGTCACAGCGACCGATCTTCTGTTGTCGCTGGCCGCTGTTCGACGCCTGAGCAGACGAACGAGCAGATGGCTCCTTTGGGCACTACTCCAAGGTCTTCTGACTCAGCAAGCGCATATTCGGTCAGTCCAAGGCCAACTATCAATCATCATACCTTTGCACATCCCCAGCCCGACGACAGAAGCCCCATTGAAATGCCATCGCCTCTTTTCGCTCGGGCGAGGCCAGTCGTTGGACAAGACTCTTGGAGATCGCCAAATGTTCCGCACGCATTACCCGTCCGGTCTCCCTATCGTCCAACAGTCACCACGACCGAGGAGATGGCGGAATCTCGACCAATGCCAGACAACCACAGCCCACACTTCCCATCACCCATATCTCCTTTTAGGCCAGAACACGAACATCAGAACTCGGATGGTTTTGGCTCCAATGGCCAGTCCAGGAGCCTTGACTCGCCAACCATCAACTACGACGCCGCCTCATGTAGTCCTACAGCACATGACAGTGCTAGACGTGCCCCTTCATTAGGCACAATAGCCCCTCAAGGCCAGCGCACATCGTCCGACCACAGCACACTGGAGCCCGTCTCCTTGGATAATACAACACCTACCGACATCCATCCCGCCTTCCGAACCGACCCCTATAGTCTGCAAGCCTACGCCGCCTCCTTCGCCTCTGCCAGACCCCAAGACAACCCTCTCCCTCCCGTTCCCGCACCACCCTACACCGACTCACCAGCACTGCAACACCCACATCAAGGCCAAATCCAAAACCGTATCTCCTCCCTGTCAGCCTCAGCTGCGATCCCCCAAAGCGCAACCCATAACCGCTCCCTTTCAGCGTCAGCCCCGATCCCTGTCCTATCCCGACGCCCCTACTCCTCCAACACAACCTCCACACCCCGCTCCTCCACCGACCACCGCCCCTCCCACTCCTATCCTCAACCCCAATCCCAATCCCACACCGAGCGCCACCTCTCGCAACCTCAATCCCTCACCCTCCCCTCCGAATCAAACGCCTATCACGGATTCTGCAAATCAGCATACAAGCTCCAAATCGGCCTCCCACACAAAAAGGCCTTCTCCATCGAAACGCGCCCCGCCGGGATCTACTCCAACTCCCAAGTCTGGCGCTGCGCCAAATGCTCCTTCGAAGGCCCCGTCTTCGTCAGCTCCGGAATCCCTAACGTCGTAGGAGGTGTAGGAAAGAAAGCGGTGGGGAAACCGGAGAAGGCGTTTGATCCCCGCCTCCGGGTGTCTGAGAGTGGCGGGGTACGCTATCGATGGGTGTTCTTGGCGAAATGTCATGTCATGACCAAGAACACGGCGGGGGAGGCGGCGAGGATGGGGGATGGCAGTTTTGGCACGTTTGGATGCTTGTTCTGTTGTGCGGAGGGTGTGGGGAGGGGATGGATACAACCAGAGGAGGAGAGCAACACCAATACCAATAACAACAACAATAAAAATAGCCCTAATAATTCGGCGGTGGAACTGGATGCCGGGCCCGGAGCCGGAGGCGCGGTAGCGGCGGGAGCTGGATTCGCAGCGGCATTTCTGCTGGGGAGGAGGAAGACCTTAGCCGCTATGCCTACCACCAATACCACAACGGCTACGACGACGACAACGACGAATCATAATCCACCGACGACGCCGACACCCTCGGTGCCCATGTTCGGCAACGTCCAGAGCTTCATGCAGCACCTCGAGATGCACCGCACGGAACAGGGCACGCCCGGCGTCGAGATGCAGGGCCGCATGAAATGCGTGGTCGGGCGGGCGGCCGACCCGGGCGAGGATTTCGACGTCAATTTCCTGCCCCTCGTTGAGCTGTAACCCCATAAAGGAATGAATGAATGAATGACGGGTCGCGGCTGTGACTGGTTTATTTGGAGAAGAATGGCGAGGGGTGTAAGTAAGGAGGAGGAGGAGGTTTGGGAGGGGCTTAAAGTTGGGATTCCGTGTTCGTATATAGAGCAAGGCAAGGCATTGAATTGCGGAGATAGATGGATAGCCCCACTCGTTTGGTAGGAGGCGACGTAGTTTTGTAGCGGACCAAAAAAAGGCAGATTGACTGGGAAATCCCCATGTACGTGGCTAGCCCGCTCTCCAGTTCCCTTTTCCTTTCCTTTTCCCTTTCCCTCTCCCTCTCTCTTCGCCTCTGCCTTCCCCTCCACCAAACTCAAAGAAAGCTACCAGCCCCCTCACAGCGACGAACAACTCACCAAGCCCACATACATTTATAGCCGAGCACCCTCTCGCCCAGGCGCTCATACTCCAAGCCGCCGACCCAGCTATCGTTTGTCTTGCCCATGCGCCCGAACACGCTGCCGCCCTTCCAGGCCACGACCTGAGCATCGAGTTCGCGGGGGGGCCGTCCGATGAGGATGTCCTTGGCGTAGCCGGGTCGGATCGCCTGGTAGGCCGGCAGGCCGGGGATCAGCGACGAGCCGCCGACGAGCATGATGCCGCCGAGGAAATCGCGGATCTTCTGCGACGACGTGCGCGACGCATGCGTGATGGAGGTCAGGATGGAGATGGGGAGCGGGTGCACGGCGAGGATGTCGTCGCGCCGTTCGATCGAGAGCGGCTCCTCTTCGCCTTCCGAGTCCGACGCCGGTTTTTCCAGCGCGGGCGTGCCGGAGGGTTGGGGCGTGGATTCCAGATCGCGGATCGGTGAGCCGGCGGGCGTGGAGCGCGGCGTCGAGTTGCTGTCTTTGATGCGCGCGAAGGATTGGGATTGCGGGCGTGCTTTGGCTGGGTGGTCGGGGTAGCCGTTTGTTTCGGTGGTGGTGTTGGTGGTGGTTCCGTTGCCGTTGGTGGTAGGGCCATTGGTGTCGGGTTTGGTGGGCACGGCGAGATGAGGAGCGATTTGGGTCAAGATCTCGGCTTGCGCGGTTGAGGTTGGATCGTTTGCTGCACCCTCATAGATGTCGTAGGAGCGATCGATCAGCCTTCGTCGTCCGTCGAGTTTGTGCTCGTCGTCGAATATGGGAGGCTTGAAAAGACCTAAAGGAGCAAGGATGACTTCGTCGTATGCTTTGAAGGTATATTTGCGGGTGTCTTGGCCAGCAGCTCGTAGATGGAAGTCGAATAATTGCACAGTGATGTCCGACTCGTTCATGGTACAGTGCTTCTGTTTCAACTCTTCTGCGAGAAGGAAATCGTATCTTCGTTTGAGGTTGATATCGGCATAGGGGAAATGATTGTAAAGCAGCATTTTGATGAAAGTCTCGGTCACGTCGTGACCACCCATTTTGAGGTTGACCCTCGAGCTCTCAATGCACATGCCTTCTTCCACACAGCAGATTGATGTCTTTTGTGCCCCAATGTCGACGATACACGCGGTACTGAACCCTGCTCCGAACGATGCGGCCAAACTTTCCTGGAAGAAACAGACTCTGCCGAACCCGAAATCAGTCAATCCCATCGCTAACAGGCTTGTGACATATTTCCTGTCGTAGAGGTCCGGTATCACAAAGACGCAAGCATACTGCGCCCACTCTCTGCGAGGCTTTAGGTTCAGTCCCAGATGCTCAGTAATCGCATCTCGGATAATAAGAGCAATATCGTGCCATACAAAGTTCTTCGACTGGTAGTCGAGCTCGTTCACCCATCCATGTCGGATCGGCCAATATAGCTTGTAGCGGGGAGTAGACTTATCAGGTATTCTTAGGGCCTTCTTGCCGGTAATGTACTCTGGAGCCTGTTTTGGATTGGTAGGTATCTCTGTCCAGTCTATTCGGAGAGGGTCGTTGTGTTCGGATATGGTTTCTGGTGGGTTTCGTTTGTTGTAGCTGAGCACCATGTCCCTAGATTGTGGCAATACCCTTCGTTTGTTCATTCGCATGCGTATCTTCAGCTCGTTACTCATAGCAGCAAATCGGCTCGCGAACTAGATGTGTTAGACAGACAGATTTTACACCATTCTGGCTGCTCACCTCCTCTCCAAACTGTTTCTCTGGCTCAGGATCACCTCCATCACCCAGCTTAACTCTCTTAGGCTTGGGCTCCCCATCTGGCTCCTCAGATTCGCTCTTCTGTGACCTCTTTGCAATCACCATGGGTACCGTCTTTGGTAAAGCATCACTGGCCAGACCTATCCTCAAATTCTGGCTTCCAATATGAATGACGATGGTCTTGGTTCCCTTCGAAACTTCGTCTTGGACCTCGTCTTGTTCTTCATCCATCTCGACATCGCCATCCGGTCCCATAGGTCTCCCTTGCGCAAGTGCTCTATCTCGATCCCTAGCTTGTTTGGTCATGCGATTTCGGTTCTCCTCTTGTTGAAGCCGGTACGCTAGGATCTGATCATCTCTCTTCAGGTATTCTGTGTAGTAGTTCTTCTGATTTATGGCTGCAATGGCGGGCCAGCTGGTAAGTTCCATATTGTTGTCAGTCCTTTCCAGGCCTGTTCCAGTAAGCTTCAGATATTTCTGGAGTACTCGTCAAGCACTCTTTAAGTTGAGTCCTACCTTCCTCCCGCAGGAGCGCCTTTCCAGACTTCTTACCCACCATGTTGGGCGACTTCTGGCCTTATATGGTCATTTGACAGTTGCACTGTGGTAGAGTAGGGCAGCTTATACGGAATGGTTGGCCTAGGCCCATCGACGGATTTGGTAAACTTCTTGGCTCCAATGGCAGTATCTTTTCTACTTACTATATTATGGAGAGTTTGGTAAATTACATTCGATGACTATAGTCCGTCAAGAAGTTACATGCGCAATCATGACAGCAATCTTGGAGAACGCTTTCCAGGCGACAAATCACACGGTCCACCTGATCAGATCAAGAAGATACAAAATCAGCCAATACCGCGCCTCATCCCCGGAAGCCTCACCAGATACAGTCTGAGGTATTGAACAGCTTGTCTACTGCTGGAACGGTCGATACCATCATGAAGGACCTCCTAAAGCCACCTTCTAGGACACAATACCTCCGGGGGTGTCTTCTCTCAATGCTCTGAATCACTCAAACAGCGAGATATAGAAAAGCCACCCAAGGCGAAAAGTTGATCGATAGTGTTCGCGGTCACAGGCCGCTAAATGGCGTCGCTGCTTATATCCCTGGTCAGGTCGACGTTGATAGTCACGTTTATGATTATGAGCAAGGGGATAACATGATGATCTCTGGATGCAATCTTGAAGGAGATTCTTATAAATTGTGGCTGGGCGTCGTCCACCATTCTGATGATGTGAAAAGCAAAGGGGAGCCTAGCTGCTCCATCGAGAAAACCCTCAAAAGACAAGGAAGGGATTTGGAAGGCCACAGAAAGGTGCTAAGCAGTGGAGAGTATGAGATGACTTCCCAGCCAACGCGTTCAGCCAGCAGTCTTCGGAGCCATGCTGGTAACAAGGTAATGTTGGGCGGTGGGGAGGAACCGGGGTTGTGCAGAAGAACTGGGAGTTTGAAAAAGAAGTTGGGCAGCGTGAGGAAGCATTGGCACCGGGATGATTGACCATAACCTGTACATGCGGCATGGAAGGTCCGGGAATGGCTGCTACAACTGAGGAGCAAGCGCTAAGTGCAGCTATGTTATCGGTGTTTACGGAGAAGAGACCTCTGATATGCTACGTTTGCTCCGGACGCAAGAGTCTCCTGTACGCAAAACGCGTATGCGCATTTGTGAGTCCCGGTGATCTAACCAAGCATTTCAAACGGAAACATCTGTCCCAAGTCAAAGAAGGGCAAAAGCCGATTGAGTCGATACGCTACCGTTGCTGCAATCAATATTGAGGTACATACCACCCACCTACCTCCTTTACATCCCGCTATAAGAGCCTGTTTCCTCTGGTTTGCCTCACATCATTAATGAACAGCGCAGAGTACTATGGCGGAGTACGTTGCGGCCTGCAAGTACAGAGGCCTGATCTGGCCATGGGTCTCAAACACATGTGGCAGGGCTACAGCTTCCGGTTATTCTATGAACACTGCCTCCTGAGCTTAACGGAGGACGTTCCAGAGAGTCATGGAGATAATAGCACACTCACCAACGTTGTTCCATATGCTTGTGCCAACCTGACCACCCTGCTGCTAATGTGATACTAACTTTCAATATAAAAACTTATTTGGTTTTATATCTCTGCCTTGGTCTAAGCATATGACCACGACCAGCAGTTCTATGAGACTTTCTTGAACATCGCAGGCCGAGGCACTAACATTGTCGTATACCCCTTGCGAGTCTTTTTATTTTCTTGTTCTTAATGTGAAGCTTGTACCACTACGCAGCACCCCCCTTCAAACCAAACTGGTTTGAATTATGCGACATATTGAAGGCTGTGTTTCTGCTCATTACTTCCACCCATTTAAGTAAGCCATCAACTAGCTCCTGACAACCCTCACAACCAACTAGTATCGATTCTTCCTCACCAACTACTACCTAAGCTCACGATACTTTGCCCGGGATGTCTTCGGAGAGGTACCTCGCGGAGGTCTCTCCCCGAAGGCATTGCATATTTACCCGTCCTTCACTATAACCACGAATGTCCAGCTCCAAGAACTTCCGAAAATCCGAGTAGAAAAATTCGATACCCCAATGCACATTTAAAAACAACGCAGATAATCGATGTATACATGAATAGCTCATACCGCATACCAACAATGGTAATATTCGTTATCAGCGCAGCATGCCGCACATTGTAATTTTGTAGATAAAGCTCATAAGTCTGGTAAGTGCCGTATCATCCATCGCTGGGAGGTGGTCCCCCATACCACGAGAGTGTTAGCGAATCTTCAAGGTATCAAGATCCCATCTATGAATGAAGGATTGAAGAATTGATTCTTGAAGTTGAGAGAATTCAAAGCACACGTGGGCGGTCCAGTTCCTTCGGGCATTTTGGCGCCTGCAACTGATAACCTTTAAGCATCGTTTGCGATAAGTCTTGTCTTGTTATTTAAAAGTGCAGCAAGAGAGGGAGGGGGTAGATGTTCTGAAGAGGCACAGCATCTCCTGTAGGGATACTTGCGCATGTTGTGTCCCACCTCCATGGTCCCCCAAATCTATTTTGCTCTTTATAAAAATGCATGGTACTTTGCCTCCTGAAAAGCTGTCAAATCAGGTGTGAGACTCCTGCGGGACGGGCAGCAATCTTATTCGAAGACCTTGAATCTGCAAGTTGATCAGACGGTTGATTGCTTGCACACCCAACTTGAAAAAGGCTGGTAGAAACTTAGGAGTGAGGGTGCTCAGATTTTCGGACTTCAATCGTTATGGGGAAACACTGTCTGAACATTTCGCTCCCTTCTGAGTCCATATTAGGTTGGTGTATGAGCATAGTGATGACCGAGCCTCAAGTGTCTGGCAGGTGCCATAGTAGGTGGAGTCCTGAAAGGTATCCTTCCATTAATGCGAACTTCAAGGACTGGGTCCAAGTAAAGTTCTCTGTTTGGTCCCTCGTCTAAAGATGCATCATGGTGATCATGGAAAGGACTCAAACCGTAGACGAGAAACTTGAAAACATCACTACCTGAAATGCCTGTGCGCACCTATGGCGCTATACGATGAAGACCCCAAGCTCTTGATGGATTGTGTGATCATAACTTCGAGTATTCCTGAGAGTCGTGGTCGTGTCTCCTGAGAATGACGTCGTGACGTGATGCGAGGTAATGATGTTGTTTGATGTGAAGATGCTGGTGTCACA